TGGAAGAGGTTCGTTTGGCAGTATATTAAGAGTAGTACTCTTTATTTTAAAATTTGCTTTACTTTAGTAAGTTGATGCTGTTTGTTTTTATATATATATATACTCCTGTTATTTCCTAGCTTATATCTCTGAATTTTCTTTCCGAGGTTTTTTGGGAGGCTGTAGATTTTAGTACTTCAAGTAGTTTAGTAATTCCAGTAATTTTATGTGAGAGGGGGTTGTACTGATAAGGGTGTGGTTGTAATGGTGTGCCTTTTTCTTCTCCCCCAATGTGTGATAATGTATTTTTTTCAGATTCTCCATGGTTTCAAAGATCAAGTTGGGGAAGATAACTGGCAGCAGTTCTCAGAGCAGTTTCCTCCACTTCTGAAAGAGAGGCTTGCTGCATTCTATGGTGTTTAGGCGAAGCAGCAAAACCATACTTGGTGAGTTCCAAGAATGTTGAGTGAGATTTTATCCCCACAATTAAAAGGAAGAATGGGTAACTAAAAGGGGGTGGAACATTTTTTTTAAAGAAATCTTGTCTCAAGGATGAAAAATTGAGAAGAAAGGGATAGACATTCCAGTTCTAACCACTAATCCATACTGATTTTAAAGATCCAGCCTTTTCATTTTTCTTTATGTATTAGGACAAAAAATATACCGATAAGACTTTAATATCCACCATAACCAGTGGTGTTGATTTTTATTGCTCTTGAATTGTGGCCAGTTTCCACTTCTAATTGTAGCTGAATTAATTTAACTAATTACATGATGAAAGTTAGATAACTGTGGTAAAATGAGTTGTGGAAAATGGTTGTCTTGTGAATTGAGTGTGTTGTTTTTTTACTTTTTTTTAATTCTGATCTTTTTCTTTCCTCAGGTTCCTGTATGCGCTGGGAGGGATACTGGGAACTCGTCCACAACCCAGTGTTGCAGATCCCTGTTAATGGGGGGTTAGGGAGGACGGGAAGAGCATTGTGGGACATAAAATGACTGCTCCCCATCTCCTGAAATTTACAAAGTTGGGGGGGAGGGTGGGCCTCCATAACCAATTGAAACAAAAACCAGGGTATCTCAGTGGCAGAAGGAAAGGCTTCTTTATTCAGAGGCCTTCATAGATGGAATGGGGTGGGGTGGGACTCGGCCCTGCGCTGAGAAAAGGGAGCAAACTTAAACTGCAACACTCTTGAGAAGGGGATCTAACTAGGGGCCATCATAAAGAACTAGCTAATAATAATAATAAGGGATAGGTTTAAGATGTTAAAAAGGATTTAAAAGCTACAGTGGTTTAAAGCCAGCTGATGAAGAGGGATGGGTTAAAATGTAATCCAAGGGGGTTATACTACTGTATATTTCCAGTCACTGGGATTCAAGAGATAAAGCTATTCTTCACCTTTTCAAGACTGCATGGTGACCAAGAAGTAGATTAGCAAATCTGTGAGTAGCCCATAATGACTAATTGTAAGCATTTTCATCTAGGAACCTTAAAGAAACCCACAAAATCTTTTTGCCATAATAATTGCCATGGCACTGTGTGCTAGAAGTGATGCTCAGTGCAAAGGCAGCCTATGATCTTGCAGGGACCTGCTAGCCATCTAGAGAGCAGTCTTTTTCATAAGAAATACTGTTGGAGAAGCATGTCTTCATTTTTTCTAAGATGCCACAGTGCAATGAGTCTTTTACCCTGTTATTCAGCTGTTACTTTGTGACACTGCTATTACATTGCTTCAGTTGCAGGAGGCAGGAAGGAGTAAGGAGGGAAACTGAATTTTACCTGGGAATGACTATACAGGACAAACATGGGCAGAAAGCAATGCATTTTTTAAATGGCTCGTGGCATACAACGTCCTGCACTCTTCTGATCAGAGCGGTATTTTACATGGTGGTTATTTACATTTTCTGTCTTAAGGACTTCTTTTCCACATTCACCATCCTGGCTTACATAAGAAATAGTAAACGTAACAAAGTACAGAAGAATGATTAAACAGGGAACCCACCATGAATGATCAGTGAAAGCTTGTAGCTTTTGCTGCATATTTAAATGGAGTTACTATCTTAAGAAATTCTCATCAGATTCAGTTACGTTATTCTCTGACAATGGGGGATTACTGAATGCTTTTAACATAGTTAAAGCCATAGATTTTTTAAATAAGAAATGAACATGTTGAAGTAGAAGCCCATTTCCCCAAAGGCAGCTAGGATGTGGGGGAAAGGGAATACTGCTTCACTTAATGAAACACTTTTTGGAAAAATGAGGAATGCTTGAGGAGAGGTAATACTCAAAAGGAACACTCTGCAGAATAACCAAGAGCAAGATTTGTGCAAAGCAGTGTTTGTCTACAGACAGCTTGCTGACAAGGAACAAGTGAGCTGAGCCACATCTCCAGCTTTCTTAGCAGATCCCAATGGAACTTCGGCAACATCAGGATTAATAGCCAGACAACTAGGTTGAACTGTGCCTTGTGTCCTGCATTGCTTCTGAGGGTGGTAAACAAAAGTGGTGAGACTACTTAGATGTTAAAGAAGATTTATGTGCAAAAAGGACATCTCTTTCCGGGGTTAAAGTTATACTTTCTGACAGTAACTGATGGTGACATTCTTGGTACTGTGTATGAATTTTTAAAAGTGTATTTGTGAGATTGCCCAGTAACTTAAGCTTCACTGATTCACCTATCTCCATTTTTCTTTATATCTCTGGCCTCTGTTGCATATGTTAATTATGCTTGCAGTTCTTGGAATTTGACATAGAACTTGCTGGGGCATTACCGTTAAGGCCTTTGTGCCAGAAAATCATTTCATTTTGGAGATGACACATACCTAGGTGAAAGCTGCTATTCTCATTTTTGGATCTGATTATTAGAAGGTGGGGCACACCCTTGCATCTTCGCATCTCCTCAAAAAGGTCAAAGAAACAATAGTAAAATTGCAGATAGCAAACTTCCTGAATTCATCTTTTTAATAGCATCAAACTTGAGCAGGTCTCTGAAAGCAATCGGCTAGTTCTTTGCATTTTAATTGTTTTATTACAAGTGTTCCTCCTTGTGCTGTATTCTCCTTGTCCTGGGGGGAGGGGGAGCAGAGATTCTATTGGTTTTTAAATGCATGGGAAAGAAATATGCATATTTGGAGGTGGAATCCTGGCTTGTGCTTTGAAACCAAGTTTCCAGGAATATGAAAAGAAGGCTGTGCACTCTACCATCCAGTGAAGTTTAAGCTACTTGGCCTGACTGCCTCTTGAAATGGAATTTGTCTTTTGTACAAGTGCTTCTAGTATTGCCTCCTGTTTGTTAATCCTGGATTTGTATATTTGTAAATGTGCCGTAATGTTTCCAATGGTGGAACTGCAGTGTACCTAGTGTTGAAGCAGCTGCTTGCACCTTGCTCAAATGAGATTTTTCTCATTTTTATGTATAATTTTTGTCAACTAAAAAAAATTCCTGTGACTCCAGTTTCCTTGTTTCCGACCACTTTCTTTGTCTTAAATTAAGTGTTTTTCATTGTATTTTCCAATGTACTGACTCAGTGTCACCCCAAAATTCAACTGGGCTGAAGAATCCTGAATTCTGTATTTCCTAATGCTCAACTTTTATTAATTTTTCCCTTGAACTGCCTTGTTGAAGATAGTACTTCTGGGGAGGGTGGGAAACTATTTTTTCAAGTAACTTCAGTTTGTTGGTAAAAAGATTTGCCTTTTCAGGTTATCATAATATAGTTGGTAAAATGAAACATTTTTTGAAAAGATGCACTTGAGTAATGTGGAATTAGAATTCTAAACTATACACAAACCCAAGATTATTTCCTTTCTAATATAGATGTATGTGCTAGTGAAGCTGCTGGAGCCCTTTGATAACCATTATTTTGCAATGAACTCAGAAGATAACTAGATTTATGCAAATTCTCAGGCTTTCAGAAAAGAGGAAAGTTAGAGGTCACAACAACAATTTCTTGTGCTGTATCCTTAGAGACAGCTGTAACAACTTTCCTGTTATTTGGACTTGAGGTATTAAATGTACTTATTTATTTATTTGATTTGTCAATCGCTTGCAAGATAATAGGTATAAGCATAAACATAATTATGAATACATGAAATGGATACATATAAGAAAAATAAAAAGAAACAATAGGACAGGGACGGCAGGCATGTTGATGCGCTTATGCACGCCCCCTACAGACCTCTTAGGAAAGGGGTGGGGTCAATAGTAGACAGTCTAAGGTTAAAGTTTTTGGGGTTTGGGGAAGAAACCAGAGTCAGGTAGAGTATTCCAGACATTGAGCACTCTGTTGCTGAAGTCGTATTTCCTGCAATCAAGTTTGGTGCAGTTTACCTTGAGTTTGTATCTATTGTTTGCTCTTGTATTGTTATGGTTGAAACAAGTATTCATTGACAGGCAGGACATTGCAATATATAATTTTATGTACTATACTTAGATTGGACCGAAGGCGGCATAGCTCTAGATTTTCTAGGTCTAGAATTTCAAGTCTGGTGGCATCAGGTATTCTACAACGAGTAGAGGAGTGGAGAACTCTTGTGAAATATTTCTGGACTTTCTCAGCTGTGTTAATATCAGACACGTAATGCGGGTTCCAGACTGAAGAGCTGTATTCAAGTATTGGTCTAGCAAAGGTTTTGTATGCTCTAGTTAGTAGTTAGTGATACTACCAGAGAAAAAGCTACATAGGATTAGGTTAACAACTCAATGCTTTTTTGGCTATGTAGTTACCGTGGGCTCTAGCACTTAGATCATTAGCATTTAGATCATTGGCTGATGCAATATATACATCAGAACTTTAGCCACTAGCCAATTTTCTGGTAAGATGCATTTCATCTATATTATAGATTTGTTACTACACAAAGTCAACTACAGGAATTTACTATTTTATCTTTCTAGACAAGGTTGTCCTGGAGCGCCTTTAAACTAGATGGTAGTCATGCTTGTATAATGTTTAGTTACCAAAAACATTTCAGTTATATTTAAACAAAAGTAAAATGATTGTATATTTTATGCTTGCATTTGCACAATTTACTTTTATACTACATACTTGAACATGCACATAACCATATATTTATTTGTTCGTACATATATTCTGAAAATCTTACAATGCAATCCTCTCCTGCTAAATTCCTCAATTGTCTTAGTCCTCGTCGAGATGTTAAAACAGCAGCCCGTTTTGCTAATAGCAAATGTAAAAGAATGTTTTCAAAACATGTCATAAGCCAGATAATAAACAGCCGGATTTCGGGAAGAGTATGGTTGAGGCTGCCAAAATTCAGCTGCCACCCGTGGAACCATTGTTTAAAAGCTACTACTTAGGTAGACGTTCTCGTGCGCACGCTCCGTACTTAGAACCCAGAAAATCGGGGACTTGTGGAAGCAACTCCTAAAAGGTTGCCTTGCGTCATCAAATGGCGCCGGAAGCTGTTGCTCCTTGGAGACGAGACGCGCGAAGGCGGGCGCGGTCTGTCAAGACGAAGCTGTCTTAAATCGACTGTGCCGGTTCTTCCCTTCCGACGAAAGTGGTTGAGGCAGGTTGCCGTAAGAATTAGGATCCTGGCTCATTGCTGGGGCCAGGAAACAGGACTCGGCGTTGGGGTTAATCTGTGTGGAGCTCCGCACCTGCAGAACGGAGCTCTTCTAACGGCGCTAAGGCGGGCGTGACCGCTCTTCGTTTGCCCTGCTATCTGCCTGAACGGGGGAGTTGTCTTCGGCAACAAGAGCTGGATTTTTCACTTGCTGCACTTCCCGGAGAGGTCCATGATAAGCGTGCGTGGAGGAAGGAAGCGAAAGGCGGAGGGCGGCAGAAGAGCAGCCCTTTTTTCGAATCGGCTCTGGGCTGTGCGCGCGGGGAAGAGCAAGATAAGGAGGTTCGGTTCTAAAAAAACTGCTAAAATTGTGATAATAAGTGTTAGAGAAGTAGTTGCTTTTGCGAGATCTGGACTCTGGCTCTCTATGATGTCAAAGGAAATAAGATATCTTTGCGGAATCTGTTCCAGGGTTTATTTCATTAGGAAAAATGACAGCCATTTCAGAACAGACATTTTTCTCCTCCTGAACTATGCTTTGCCCATAGGATGTGCATGAACCGAACATTCCTGATGTAGCTGGGAACCATAGCGTTGTATGATTGGATCATGCAGCAGTTTTATTTGTGTGGAGTCCGCTCTCTCATTTTCAGATGAAAGTTTGGAAGTCAGAATGCCAGCAATTTTTGTAATCTTATTCTTTTCTCTTCCTATGAACCTTATTGTTTGAAAAGAGATAAGACCAAATAAGATTATTTCTTCATTTATCATTCAGAAGTCATCTTCTTCTTAATTATCTAGGAATGTTTTTGAATGTCCAGTAGATAATTTCTTTTTACATCTTGTACCTTGAGCATTATTTTAAAATTGTCAGGCTTAAGTGGTCCTATAATTTATGCTCTCAAAAATTCCTTTTTGCCTCATAAAACTTGCATTATTAGTTGAAATATCTATTTCTAATAAAATAAGGTATAACTTTGGTTTTTATCATTCCTTATCTGAATTGTTTGCTTCTTGCCTTCCTGCAGCAATGGAAACTGTCCCAGGTTCTTCTGTTGAACAGCAAGGCTCTGACATTGACTCTGACACAGAGAGCAAAATAGATCCAGATACCCAAGCCCTGGAATATGTGGAGCGTGTTCTTGGAACTTCAAATCAGTCCAGGCAAGCAACCCAGTGTCTGCCTCCAGAGTCTCTCTCAATAGGTGGTGGTAGAGTCCGAACATCAGACCTCAAATCACCTCTAGAACTGAAAAAATCTATTGTTGAAGAAACTGTTTCAGGGCTGTTATCTCTTCCTCTAGAGTTGATTTTAGAAATCTGTTCCTACCTGCAAGCCAGGTTTGTTTTGCATGTCCTTCCTTTAGTCTGCAAGACACTGAGGGACATTGTTCAAGATGAAGTCACTTGGAGAATTCGACTTTTAAAAAGAATTGGCAATTGCTATCCAGTTGTAGAAGGTAGGTGGGTTTTCTTTCTAGCTGTTGGTGACCTGTATTTTAGCTTTTTCACAAGCAGATTCTCGCATCATTAACTTTTGATTTTAAGAGAAGGTGGAACTGGTGTTTTAAATGTCGAGGATGTTAGGAGGAAGAAAGATGCTAAAAGGAGTTTTCCTTTTTGTCTAAAAAGTGAGAGGGTTATCACTAAGAATGAGTAGAAATTTCACTCTTGAGCTACTTTTCAAATGCTCTAATTTGTAAATATTGCTGTAAGAATTCTGAGTAGAACAACAATAAATATTTCCTAGCCTGCTTCTCTTTCATTTTTGGAATGTTGCAGGTAAGCTCAGTAATATTGTCTCTCAACTGATAGTACCAAGTCCTTTTCCATTTAAAGATAACATCTTTAACGTGTTAGTTCCCATTACAATATTAGAATTTGTCATAAGTTATTTTTACAGTGTTGCAATTCAGGCTACATTATGTAAAACTTCTGTGTTTTAGTATCTATCCTTTTTTTGTGTTTAAATTCTGTAAACATGTTAACACTTATATGCAAAACCACTATATAAATAAGGCACATAAACTTCTCTATATTGCTTAATTTTTTTTTACAAAAAAACCAAAAAAACCTCTGTTTTTTTATTTTTTGGCAGGTAATGATTTTAATTGGCCAACAGCTTGCATTGAACTAGAAGAACACCTCCAACAATGGGCAGATAGTGGCAAAAACACAGAGTATTTTTCCCTTACTGAAGGGCACTTTGCTTCTGTTGATTCTGTATTGCTCCTTCAGGTAAAAATCTGTCTCTCTTTGCTGTTTTTAATGATGCAGTTAAAGGACATTCTTCAACATCCAAAGTTTAGTTAAAAGGAGCATGTTGAAAAATGTTCTGCATTTTCATTTTTGAGAAATAACTAACAAAATTCATCTGGCCAAATAGTTTCCTCGATGTTATGCTCCATTATAAGCATAACTATCTCATAGTAGGAGCTAGTTGTGTATTTGTTAGCATTTTATATGAAATGATTCTTTAGACCTAAATGCTGAGTAGAAGATTAACTGTGGCCACTTCCTATTAAAAATATCAACCCGCATTTGTCTATCATTTAATCTAAAAAGTACTCATTGATTGATTGCTTTCCATTATCCTTATTCTTGATTAATTACTGCTAAAATACTGTATTTGTCAAACCATTCTCATATTGTCTTTATAATGGGCTTTCAGTTTTATGCTTGTTTATTTATTTCCATTTATATAGCCGCCTATCTTACTTGTAGGAGTACTTGTGGCTTACATGTAAAAACAACAGAAAAATTAACTTACATAAATTAAAACAATAGATTACAAAAATAAAAATGCAGGAGAATATCAACCAACGTCCATAAGCAATGCAGCCATCTTGCAGGCTCCCCACATCCACTGGGGACTTGAAGGATTTTCTAAAGGCCAAGATTGGACACAACCTGACCTAAGGGGACATAATTTTCCAGACAGTGGATGATACAGCATTAAAGGCTCTCCTCCTCTTGGATCCTGTTAGATAGAACTGCTTCATGCATGGGACCCACAATACATCATTTCTGCTGGATCTAATGGAATGGGTAAAGGCAATCGGGAAGGCAGTCCTTCACAGCAACCCTCATGCCTTATAAGGATTTGTAGATCACCTTGAAACAAATTAGCAACCAACACAGCTCAGAGAACAGAGGTATAATGCACATCAATCTTGGATGCACATATTTTATTTATTTTTCAAATTTAGAAATCACCCATTTCCTTCACAGAGGGACTCTGGGCAGCATACACATCAAATATTGCCATATTTGCATTAGCTGTAGCTTCTGAATGCTCTTTAAGGGCAGGCCTATGTAGAGCATGTTACAGGAATCCACCAGGGAAGTGATCAGGGTATGAGTGACAGAGACTATACATAAGGGGTGGGGGTGTTGTACTGAAAAAACGTTGGATGTCTGCTCACTGTCTTTGTGATACTATTCTGAAATATGAGGAACACTAACTGATATAATTTGATTAGCATTTATTTTTGTTATCCAGGGTGGGGAGTTGTGCATTTCTGGCTCTCGAGACCGAAATGTCAACTTGTGGGATCTAAAGCAGCTGGGCAAAGCACCAGAAAAAGTTCTAGTGAAAGCACTGGGGACAGAGCGCAGTGGAACACACAAGGTAACTGGAGATTCTGAAGCCGATCAATATATTAAACATAAATATTAAGCATTATTACAGAAAGTCTGTATTATCAACTCCCATCTGATAGCCCCATTCCATTGATAGCCCCTTTCCATTGTTTAAACTGGAAAATAAAGTGCAATGAGTTTCTGTGTGCATGAGGTGTAGTCCTTGAGTTAATATTGTAATTGAGCCTTCCATTGTAGTCATAAGTAATGATAGTCATAGAGCAGGTCACCATATGACCAGTACCAGTTTTATGACCTGTTTTGCAGCAGTCATTAAGCAAATGCAGTCATCGTAAAGGAACACTGTGGTCATTGTGCAACCCCATTGTTTGCTATGGGGCAGTTTTGTCAGAAACGAGAGGTAAACGCTGGTTTCCTGCAAAATTGTAATTCATGACTATGTGCCTAAAGGGTGTTGCAAATGACTGTAAATATGGGCCGGTTGTTGAGCACTCAAAATATGGTCACATTGGGGGAGCAGACATCAGAATTTCAGAACCAGGTTGTAACTATGTTCTGGGGGACCCATCATAAATTCAAACAATTGTTAATTGACTGGTCATAAATCAAGGACTACCTATAAGTGTATGACATTTCTCATGATTTGGGAATGTTCTAATTAATAGCAGTACATCACTGTTTCTCTCTGTTGAATATTAAACCTTTTCCTTTTACAATCTTCCCTGGTAGCTTCTTTGTTGTTTACTGTAAAAAATAAAATAAAATGGCCAATTCTTTTTTACGGCTTGTTATAAAGCAAAGTAGGTATATATGTGATATATTTGCTATCTGGCAGACATATGGCCTCTTGCTTCCAGAAAACAGATGGCATTTAGAAGACCTTTCAGTCTTCTCTAATCTTGAGCAGAGAGTGACCATTCCCAGTGAAAAGGAATGGAATGCTTCATCACTTTACTCTGGTGATGCCTCAGTGCAATATCTTCTGCAGTGGATATAGAACGGTCCATGCACCCCTGTTAAAATGCCAGGCTTTTGAGATGTAAAAAAATCAGACCAAGATAAATCACTTCAGAATCCTTTCTACCTTTAGCTTATAAGCTGTACAATTCAATTGAAAAACAAATTGAAATCTTTTTTTTTGGGGGGGGGGGGGAATAATAAAAAACTTACAATAATGTATTTGCATAAAGATGCACACCCTTAAACTAATACTTTGTTGAAGCACCTTCTGACAACATTCAATCTTTTATTTGACATTCTAGTGAAGCCATTATTTTGTTGATTTGGACGGGAGCTATGCTTTGAGTCATTGTCATGTTAAAAGGAGAAATTCCTCTTTATCTTCAGGATTTTAGCAGAGATTTTGTGCCAAAATTGACTCATATTTGGAACATTTCATAATTTTCTCCACCTTGAATAAAGCCCAAGTTCCATTTATAGAAAAGCAGCCCAAAAATATAATGCTTCACTGTGGACATGGTGTAACTTTTGATGGTGCACAGTGTTGTTTCTGCGCAAAACATACTTCTAGAAATCATGGCTAAAATGTTCATCATTGGTCGCATCAGACCATAATACATTTTCCCACATGCTTTTGTCAGTCTTGATGTAGGTTTTTGCAAAAGGCTTTGATGTTTTTCTTCCTAAGAAAAGACTTCCACCTTGCCACCCTACCCCGTACCCCAGACATAAGAATATGGGAGATTGTTGCCACGTGTAGTATAAAACCAGAACTTGTCAAATATTTCTGCGGCCCCTTTAATGTTGCTATAGGCCTCTTGGCAGTTTCTTGGATCAGTTTTCTTCTTGTTTTTTCATTAATTTTGGGAAGGACAACCAGTTCTTGATAATGTCACATTGTGCCATATTTTCTCCACTTGTTAATGACTATCTCACTGTGCTCCATGGTATATGCACTGGAAATTTTTTAGTGTCCATCTTCTGACTAATAACTCCAACAGGTACCTTTGATGCTTTGTAAACTCTTTGTGAACCATGATTTTTGCTGTAAGAGGCAATAGAGTAAATATCAGAAAAATCCTACTAGAACAGCTGAACTTTATGTAGGCCTGATCAGGATCAGTTTAATTAATGGCAGGTGTGCATTGAATACTATTTAATATAAGTTTGAATGTGATTGGTTAATTTTGAGCACAACTACATTCCTACTTATAAGAGGGTGTGAACATTTGTGAAGCCACTTTTCTCTAGTCTTTTTTTGTAATTCCCCCCTTCCCCCAAAAAGGTTTTCAGTTTTTCAATTGAATTGTATGGCTTAAGAATACTGAAGCAATTTATCTTGGTTTCATTTTTTTTACACTTGAAAAACCTAGCATTTTAACAAGCCTGTAGACTTTCTATATCCACTGTAGATCAAAAAATTGTGATACCAAATTGAAACTGAATTTCTATTCTAAAATGATATAGATTTTATTAGAAATATACAATGATGCATATTTATTAAGCTGTTGTAACTTATTTCATATATAACGGAAGATTGGTTGTCTTCAGAGAACAAAAGCATTTGCTGTAGTTTTGTTATTGTTATTACAATGTATAATCATTGAAAAGATTAGCTGGAGCTGTCATATATATTTTTGTCCCTGCTCCCCCCCCCCTCCCACCACCATCTAGGGATGGGTTTGGTCTCTGGCTTCACATGATAACCGTGTATGTTCAGGCTCCTGGGACAGCACAGTGAAGTTATGGGATATAGCTGCTGACGGAAAACAATTTGGAGAAATCAGGTACTGTTGCTGTTTATCCCCTTATGCTATATTTATTTGGAAGAGTAAATGGCAAAAGGAAAACTAGATTCAAAGAAACAGTATTAATAATGACCAGAGAATTAAGATATTGGCTTCAGTCCTTAATCGGGGCCCCAGAGAGATTTAACATCCTACTTCCTAAAATCAAATCATGATAAAAGGCCTAGAATAGTACAAGAATCCAGTCCTGAGTTATATTAAATGTCACAATAATTTCATCTAATTTTTTTCTTGTAGTATTTTCCAAGTATTTATTTAAAAAGACTAGATTAATGTACAATCAATATTGTATCACCATAAAAAGGAAAAACCAAAAAAGATTAGACAAAGGGTTGCGAAGGAGCATTGGAGGGTGAATAAGGACAGGAACTGATGCAGACCTACATAGAGCCAAAATATCAACTAAAATGTTATTTATTTGAGTTTATGTTTACTATAATGTAAATATTGTACATCTTTCATCTTGATCTTCTATACCTTATTTCTCTGATATGCATAAATAGCAGTTTGCAGGTGCTTCTAGGAAATTTAGATTTTTTTTTCTCCCTGTCTTCCGGTCCATCCCCTTGTATTTGGCTGTGAGATATTTCAGGAAAAAAAAATCTTTAACTTGGATAGGTATAAGCCGACAAAGAAAATTCCAATTCACTTACATAATAGCCTACCCTGTCACAGGGAGAGAGGTTATTCTACATAAATGTATTATGTCTGTAAGAACAGTGCAACCTTTTCTAGGCTTGTATTTCTAGAATTTCCACACTGACATGCTGGTTTTGGATCCAGAGAGCTGGAGGTTGCAAATTTAATGAAAATGAACTCTGTGGACCATTGGAATACACTTCCATATATATCAGACCTTAGCATATTGGATGTTTCATATAATAAACTAATTTCTGTGAAGGCTTCATCATCTGCATTAATTTATGCTATTTGAGTGGAGTCATTATGCAAATGTCAAAAATAACCAAGATATTCTTATCTGTTAAAAGTTTGTATTTAATGATATTCATATTTATATATATATACTTATATCACTATATGAATTACTTTGTTCAATTAATTCATTGAAATTAAAATTCTTTATAATTCAGCATGTAAATAAGCCCTCTATTGGCTCTTCTAATTTGTAGTCAAAGTTCAGTCGTAGATGACGCTAAATAGGCAGCCACTGCAAGTAGCAAAATGGGAACTAGCTACTGTAATTTATGTTGTAAATTGTGTCAGTCTAGAAATAATGGGAAACCCAAGGCTGAACAAGGATTTACTGACCATAAAATATGCTTCTTGACACATCACCTGATCATTTCCTTTTGGATTCTAGTGAGAAAGCAGCTGTATTGTGCCTTTCTTATTTGCCTGACATTCTGGTCACAGGAACATATGACAAGAAAGTGTCAGTCTATGATCCACGAGGTTAGTACTAGTTGTTTCTTTACATTCTGAAGACTTAAAATGCCTGCTTGCAAACGATCATTGTCACCACAGTTAAGGCATAGAGGTTGCATGATTGCATTTCAGGTGCTTGGTAACTGGCTGGCATTTATGATTGGTTGCAGCGTCCCCCAGTCATGTGATTAAGTTTGGGGTGGGGGGGGGTTTGCCATTTTTCAGCAAAAAGTGCCCATAGGATAAGCTGGAATGAAACTTATAACCATGTGTTTCACTTAATGACTATGTGGTTTGCTTGATAATTGCAGTGACTTGCTTAACAAAACAATGCAAACACAATCATAAAATTGAGTCTGATCACATAGTGACTCGACATACAACCTCAATAACATCATCAAACTTCTGAACTTGATTATGGTTGTAAGTCTTAGATTACTATATGCCAGGATCTTCTTATCTCAGTGGACCAAGAACAGTCAGAAAAGAAAGGATTATTCCATCTATCTAGACATTGAGATGTCTTCTGTGCCAGATATAGGCAAATTGTAGATGCTCCCAAATAATTACTACCATGTGGAAGTCTTGCCCGTTCACAAAATGTCTGTGAACCAATCACAAAACGCTCAGTTATCAGTGAGCAAACTATTGAGTTTATTCCCATTGTTCTCACTAGCCACCAAAGATGCTTTCTACTTCTTCAGCTTACACTTATCTTTTTTTTAGAAAAGAAGGTCCATTTCTGGACGTGGTTGCAGTCATCTCCCATTTTTATTTTCCCTATGGCCAATGCAAAGCCTAGAAGTACAATGTTTTTGAAAATAATTGGTATTGCAGCACTTTCCCATGTATTTATGTTTAAATCAATATAATTTTTATTTTAAAAAATTTAAATTAGGTTGGGGCGGTAGGAAATTAACTGGCATCAAAAGGCATATTGGTAGCTCAGAGTACGTTGTCTCCCTACAGCTACAATTAATTTCTGAAGACTGCCATCTCAAGCAGAAAGTTTGGTGCAAGAAAATTATAATTCCCCACTCTGGTTGTTTGGGTATAAATTGTTATGATGAGTAATACATACTAGTTTTCTATATGTAATAGGAACACACACACACACACACACACCCAAATTCATTAGGAGTGGTGAGACGGAGGAGCTGGCAAGAGTATTCCTAAAGGAAGCTCTGCTTTCTCTCCTGCTTGCAGTTATCTTGATAATTAAATGGCAAGCCTCAATGTAGAGAAAGAATTTGTATGTGATTATAGTTGAGCAAGCCACCAATTTTATAAGATTTATCTTGTGCAGGTGACTGGGCTCTTGTGATGCATCTCTTGGCCCTCTCTCACAGCTGCTTGTGCCCCAGTGATGAGCCGCAGGCTTCACTCCAATGCAGTCCTATCCCTTGCAGCTGACGAACACTTCATTATCTCTGGCAGTGAGGATCGAACGCTGGTCTGTTTTGACAGGAGGACCAATAGTGTGCTTCAAAGGCTTCAGGTGAGCTATTCAGCTTCAATCTCTTTTTCATGATAAAACTAGCCAACAGTTATATAGAAAAAAATCACCCAAGAAAAATTGAATCCTTTAACTATTCCATACAGATGTTCCTATTTTCTCTTAGATTTTAAATTGAACAGATCTGATAGAAGTCAGATACGTATTAGAGTACAGGAATACAGTAAGAATACAGGAAGTTTGATAAGAATAAGGTAGTGTCAAGGAACTAGATTATATTAGTAAAATAATAGATAATGCAAATACAAGGAAGTAGAAGATGAGATTAAGTAGGAGATGGAATGGATTTCCAGTAAGCATCATGGTAAAGTTAGACATCCTTGCTGAAGGGGAATAGTGTTTACGGTGAAAAGATCATGTGATTGCCATTCACGCTCTGAACTGTCAGTCCACATATGGAGACTACAAGAACTGAGGTTTTATGATTGGCTTATGAGTCAAATGGCTAGGAGTTTAGTGATATCTAAGCTCAACAGTTGTAACATAGCCTGTTGTGTACAAAACACTCTACCGAGTTTTATTTCTTAATCATATTTGGGATTATTTTTACTGCTTGGAAATATTAACAGCAAGTTTTTATGGTATTCACTGAGTGAATCTTATTCTCCTTGAGGAAAAAATAAATAAATGTGATTTTAAGGACTTGGGAAAAATTCTGGGTTTTCTGAATAAGGAACAAAAAAGTGTTGATTTTAGAATATTAAAAAAACAGGGATATTCAGAATAAAAATTCAAAACTAATTATAAAAATCCTTTTTGGGGGAAAATGATATAATGAGACTTTGAAGATTGGATACTAGAGGAAACTAAAAGAAAATAAGTATTACAGCTAAAGGAGAAGTATATTTAAATTTGACCTGTTAAGAAAAAATGGAACAAAATAATTTAATTGTATATTTTGAAGGACATTTTGAACAATAGACACAAATTGTGTCTTAATTTTAAAAATGTTTGATACCATAGAAAGATTATATTTATGTCACAGAAGAACAAACTATACTGAATAAGACTGAAACTGATTTGATTGAGGATTTAAATATGAGAAATTACAAGAATAACATGGAACAAGATAATAAAGTGGACATAAAAATGAAACTGATTGTCTTAATATTTAAAGGGGACATACAAATATTGAATCAGAAGAGTGATTTGGATAATATTTTTTTTACTATATGTACAAAAGAGATATTTTAAAGACTTGAAGGACTTTCTGAGATGGGATTAAAAAAAATGAAAAAATAATTCAAATTCTAGGACATTATTTGAAGGGAACCAAAAACTAAGAAGTATGGGGAAGGAATCTATAGCTGGTTTATTTGATCAAGTTTAAAGTAGGTATTTATTGCTGGTAACACTTAATGGATTTTTGCTGATAAGAATTAAATTATTAGGATGATGAAATATAGGAGCTAAATAATAAGAAATTGGATAGAATTAAATGCATCACATATTTTTAATAACAATAAGGAAGAATAATGGAATTTAATATTTACCAGAGACAAAATGTATACAAGACCTTACTTTTGTATATAAGTTTTATAATAAACATCGTGACCATAGGAATTGTGATATTTCATACTTACGTCTGGTGTCATGTAGAACTGTGCCTATGGCAGTGATATTTATCTTTTCCCACAGCTGGACACATACCTATTTTCCATGTCATACCAGGGTTCTCAACTATGGGCTGGAGACAATCATGGAATGCTGTATGTCTTTGAGAACAATGGAGGGCATTTCCAGCACATTCGGGTATGGTACTGATGATAGATCATGGAGGGACAGAGAAATATGGTTCTTTTCTAATTTCCACACATAAAACAGTTCTCTTTCATTTGATGTCTCACTGCTTTTTCTTTTGTCAGTATTTTGATGTAGGTCATCGCTCTCAGATCACTGGAGTGCAACACTCATTGGGTGCACTGTATACAACTTCCACTGACAAGACACTCCGTGTAAGAATTGTGATGGTATCTAAGTACTTTATTAGGAATAAACAGTTAATTTACCAATAGCAAAATCACTTAGACTTATATACCACTTTATAATACTTTACAGAAGTCTCTGAGTGGTTTACAATGTCAGCATATTGCCCCCAACAATCTGGGTTCTCATTTTATGAACCTCAGAAGAATAGAAGGCTGAGTCAACCTAGAGCTGGTCAAGGATTGAATTCCTGGCAGTGGAATGCAGAATTAGCCCACAATACTGCTCCAACATGGCTCATAGATTTCCAATCTATGTCTGTTTCACATGGGTTTATCAAAAGTAAATTCTATTTATTTTTTAATCTGTACAAAAAGTTGTATGAATTATATTTAAAAATGTCTATTTTCTTACAAAATATGCATTTCTAAACAATTGGTCCTTAACATGCTTTATATATTTGGTGGGTTTTCTCTTTGGACTGAAAAATCAAATTGAATCTAAAGAATAACTGAATTATTTGTGGCCTGGAAAAGTAGTTCTGGTAGTGTGGTGACTGAGGAGCAAAACAAAACAGGACAAAAGAATAATCACATCACTGTAGATTTGATCAGTGAAAGCAAAATTAATTCTGTCCACTATTTTTAAATATTTGACTGAAAAATAAAGCAGGAATGAGACCCTAGTTGCCATAAAGTTGTAGCTATAAACCAAAACATTTGATTATTTCAACAACTTTAGGGTAGCTTCAGAAAAAGATGATGAAATATGGCAAAGGCTATCTCATAGTATTTTCAAATGTTGTTTTCATATCACTGTGTACAGATTAAGCTCCTTCACTGCATACTGCCTGGCTTTATCAGATTCATAGACCATTATTTTGGAGAGTTGCTTATACCAAATAATTGCATTGGCACAAATGTTTTGGGACTTACAGCAAAGTAAAATAAGGCTTTTTTAAAAAAATGTTGTTATATTCTCGTATCATTTTTAGACTTAATCCTCTTGGATTTTTCTTTCAGATCCATGTTCCTACAGATCCACCAAAGGTCATCTGCTCACAGACCCACAGCTATGTGCTAAATGGGGTAAGGACAAGAGGCTGGAGATGCTGAAAGATATTCTGGGAAAGGCCTGCTGCAGCTATGAAAGGGAGGGATCCATTCACTATTGTCATCATTGTTTGGGGTCAAATTGAATTTTATTGCAGTTAGCTCTGCTTATCATCGGCATTTTGTTTTGTTTTGTTTGCAGATCTGTGCTAAAGGAAATATGGCAGTAGCTGCCTCAGGTGGTTTATCCTTGGAGGTTTGGAAACTCAGTATTTGATGATAAGCCACACAGTGATCCATGCTCTCACGTTCAGGATCATCAAGTACTTCCTTGTAGGTTCCAGATTTCTGGTGTCTGATGAATTGTTGTTGTTGTTGTTGTTTAATACGTTCTTTGGGACTGAATAATCAAATGTTGAAACCTCAGCCTTGCTTGTCCCAGTAGGGGTAACACAGAGGCTTGAATGGAGGCTATCTGATTCACTTGAACCTTAACCTCGTCCTTTCTTGCTGGCCCTCTCTCTCATTTCACTTTGTGTGGCTGAAACACAGATTTGTGTGTACTCTTTCCATCATCTGGCCCCTTCGAAGTTTGTCCCATTCAACATATCAGAGCAGTATCCTCTCTATTGCTTGATGGCCAAGAACTTATTGGCTTACCAGGTAAATAAGCACAGGTCTAAGCATGAAAGGGTGAATTATGGGTAGAGGGGAGGGTGATGATTAGAGAGACTACCCAGATAGCCGGGCCTGGTTAATGTTTACATTTAATTAAAATATTCTGCCATAACGGCAGATGAAGACTTATGTTGCCTTTTTTCTCCCTTGTGGTAAGCAAAGCATGTCTTAAAGCATGATTTTTTTAAGGGATTTGGTTTAGAATTAAGATGAACCCACTAAAAATAAGTTTATATAGCAAACTTTGACTGTACAACAATTTTCTCAATTTTGTCATTAAATTATAACAAAAACAAGTTTTGAACAAGATGAACTGTTTCTTCAATGACATATAGTTCATATCTTGTGTTCAGCCATACAGTTTGGTTGGTTTTGTTTTAATATTATATATGAACCATATCACAGTATTTTATAAAGCATGGTTTGTCTAGCATTATTGAATTAGCCTTGAGGCTTATTCAGTATATCATGATTAAAGTAAACCATGTGTTAGCATAATGTGAAAATCCAGAATATAGACTGGAATACAACACAAAATGTCAGTTGTTGTATTATCATTTATGTTTTATTTATTTATTTGTCAGTCCTTTATCATTTTATAAGGAAGAATCTAAAGACTGGTTAAATTTGAATGCATTTGAATGTATGTACATAAACTTGCTTTTGAATTATCCAACAAAAGCAAACTGAAAAGCTAAAACCCTTCCATCTTATTTTTGTTTATCTCTGAGAATTAGAAATGTTACTTACTATGAGCAGAAATAATTGGAGTAACAAAAATAAAAACAAAACAATAATATATAATTCCATAATGAAGCATTTTGGCTTCTTATCAGGATCTTAAGACACATCAGTATTTACTTTTTTCATCAAAACCCAAAACTTAATTTCCAGTTCGTTAATTTTTTGAAGCAGTAGTGGATAACCGTGTTAGAATGTATAGTCAGAAAACAATTCAAAAGGCTTATTCCTTCAGTAATAGGTATAAGATATGACATGATCTGTATTATTTATAAGGCCAAAGGTGGAGATATTATTGAGTAAACAGATTGAAAAGCACACTATCTGAATCTCACCTTCCATAAGAACTACCTAGAATTGATGTGTAATAATAGGTACTCCCCCTCCCCTCATATGCATAATAACAGTTTGGAGTCAGGCAGCACAAAAATTGAAGCAAATAATAAAAATAAGATAAAGACCAGACTTTGCTCTAGAAAGCAACCCCGTTAAGCCATTCTTGTCTAATTTTTTTCCTAGGCAGCCTCTTTCCTCAAGGTCATCTGCACATTCCATTACAAAATCCATCACTGCCTTGAATGAGGGATCTTAAAAACCTCACAGTCATCTTTCATTCAGAGCTTTTATCAAATAACTCAAAAGTTTGATTGTCTAAAACAGGACTAGAAGCTTATCCTACATTCTCAAGAACCTTTGGGTAAAATCTTCAATGAATTATTAGGTCTAGTGTGGTGTATTAGATGATGCTAACTTTGTATAATTATTCCAACAAATATCTTATTCTTATTACAAATAGGATATATATGAGAGAAGAAACACAGTCTTGGTAAGCCACAGAATATATTAACCAGAATTTGAGAGAAAAATAAAGCAAGTAATGATTCCTAGTGAGCATACCCCTCTTTCTCTTGCTGTCCTTCTTTCTCATTAATAGATCTGTCAGGAAGAAGAAAAAATGAATGTTTGGTATGTTTATCCTTGTTTCTTTGGTGCCATAATCTTGTTTTTCCTGGTCATTGTTCTGCCTTTTTCCATAATTTTATCATTTTTTTAAAAAAAGAACAATAAGAGCTTAAAGGAAAGGAAAGGAAGAAATAAAAGTGCAAAACTAAAAAGATTCCCTTTTAGAAAAAAACTTTCCACTATCATCATGATAAATATAAAGTTTTATAATCTCTTCACCTTCTCTTAATTAACAAGTATCAAACACTTCATCCCATAACACTCCAAGCAAATCAAATAAATAACATCTCTTTATTCAATTATCAGAAAAAAGTTCAGAACTCTAAAATATTAACATATATATAAAAGTTAACTTTCCATATCTCATCTCCTAGCTGTAAGCAAAATCGAATTTAAAAGGCATAAAAAGATCTCAATATCTAGTGTCAATAAACAAAGCCTAAAGTTCAATATTATAAAAACAGGCCATTTATTTTTTAAGACGAACTCCAATATTTCTCCCATTCCAAATACCAACGATTTCAGAGAACCAGCCCAAAATAGCACTATATCCATTCAAATAAACATTCCATATCTCAATTCTAAAATTAACAAAATAAAGTATTCCCAGCATCCTAATATAAACGAATAACTAGAATTTAACATAACAAAAAGATATTTTCCTTTAAAAAATAAATCCACATATTAGATACAAAGCGTTTCAATGTTAAAAATTTAGGATACATAAAATGGCTATAAAGTTAATGGTTTAAACACTGTATAAGCTAATCAGTATATGACATTGTTCCAGTCATCAGTACATACAAACAGAAACACCCAAAATGACAGCATGTCCCATTTTAACCCATTTTGACCCTTACTAAAGAGTTCTTCAATATTTTTAAGCAGTCTCTTGTAAATCCCCCCCCCCCCCCCCCCCCCCCAAAAAAAAATATTATTTCAGTTGCTCCCTAGGATTGCCATTTTTTCCCCTTCATAATTTTTAAAGCTTCCAATTTTTCTCTTTACATCTAATGGGAAATTTTTATTTAGTGTTTCACTCATGTTGTTCCCAAGTGGAGCTTGTTGCATATCTAGATATATTTGTTGAAAAATTAGGGTGGGTAACTTTGGCGAGTCACTATCTCTCAGGCTGACTCAGATGGTTATTTGGGGGAAAAGACATAGAAGGAGTATTAGGCATATTCGCCATCGAGTTAAAATAATAAAGGTGAGGTTTTAAAAATTTAAAATATCTAGTTCTGTAACATCTTTCCGAGATAGCCTGTTCCCCAAAAGATACAACATAGCTGACATAATTGATTCAAAGTCTCAATGCAATTCATTTATACTATAAATTCACTTTCCAAAAGCAACACCAACCATAAGAACCTCTGTTCCCGCCCTGACCTAACCATACAGCAACATGCCCGCTCCTGTGTACTCTGCACAGAACTCAAAAAACTTCTAGACAATGGAGAGAAGGACCTGTACATTGACTACCGTGCTGACTATATCAAAAGTAAGTCACACAACCTGCACCTCAGCTTTAGCCTTCAACTGCAACCCTACTTCAACCAATCCACCATCACCCAAGACTAGGCACGCACGCACACCCCTAACTACCTCAATTCCAACTACTGCTGGCCTTAAATGCAAGCTACTCAATGCAAGAAGCCTTGTGAATAAAATACCTGAATTTCTCCTTTTACTAAATATGGCTAAATTCGACATCATATTTGTCTGTGAAACATGGCTCAATGCATCTCTCCCTGAATCCATTACCACAGTAAGAGACTGTCATGTCTACTGATCAGATCATGAAATTCGTAGAGGAGGTGGTGTTGCCATCTTCTATAAAAAGTCTTTACATTTAAAAAACATCCAAGTTACCCAGGAGCTTGCTCTTCTTGAGACCATCATCTGTGAACTATCCTTAAATATCACATTTTGTTTCTTACTATGTTACAGAGCATCTGACATTGTGACATTGAACATGTAAACAAGCTAAATTCACTACTAACATGGGCAACATCCTGCCCACATGCTTTTATCTTTCTTGGTGACTTCAATCTACCTCATATTAACTGGACCATAAACGAATGTACAACCGAACCCATACATGCAACCTTCTACAATGCTATTACAAATCTGGGATTGGAACAACTAGTAACCAACAATACTAGACTTAACAACTGCCTCGATCTCATCTTCTGCAATAGTTTGAATTTAATTTATGGAATACAAACTAAAGAACCCTTTTCCACCAGTGACCACAATATGATTGACTTTTGTCTCAACATATGCCCACACAAAAATCATCACAATGATGTAATCCCCAATTATAACTTCAAAAAAGGCAACTATGATCTTATAGACAACGATCTCTCATCCCTTGATTGGCAATCTCTATTCACTGGATGCAATACTGTTGAAGACCATTACAACATATTTTAACTTGAAGTCAAAAGAGTCATCAAACTATATGTACCAATAACAACTCCCAAAACAAAACAAAAAAAGATTACCTATAACAACAAGGAAACTTCAATCCAAAAAGAGATCACTCTGGTGGAAAAACAAATCTGGTCATGTTGCCAACTTCAAAAGCCAATACAAAAATTTATGCCACCAGATAAAGACTGAATGCACTAATTATCACATTAAGCAAGAGGAAAACCTTCTACGCACCAATTTCACCCGCGCTTTTTACAGTTTTGTAAACAACAAACTAAAAGACTCAAGGTCCATCCCACCCCTTATAGCAGTGGCCCCCAACCTTTTTTGTGCCACGGCCCGGTACCGGCATCATAAAATGATCCATGGCCCAGTACCGGCATCAGCATGAATGGCAAGGTGACCCGAGCGACCGGCCAGCCAGCCATCCCCCGCTTCTCCCCACCACCTTCAACTCCTTCTTTGTACCTTTGTTGATGGGCTTCAGGACGGCTTCGGGACGGTCGCTCGGCTCACCTTGCCTTGGGTGCTGAAAGAATCCTCACGCCTTAGTTTTGTTCGAAGCCGCCCCCCCCCCTTCGATGAAACTAAGGCACGAGGATTCCTTCAGGACCCAAATGCCGCTTTCCAACCGGAAAAGCTCACTGGAAAGCACTTTCTCATCAAAACAAGATGGCAGCACCCAGCAAAACGGCGGCCCGGTAGAAAATGTTCCACGGACCGGTACCGGTCCGGGGCCCGGTAGTTGAGGACCCCTGCCTTATAGGATCTAATGTTAAAGACTGCAACAACACCATTAAAGCCAACATCTTTAGCACATTCTTTGGCTCAGTATTTATAAACAGCAATGGATCATGCCCAGTATTTCCTAGCTGAACCACAGAAAAAACAATGATCTAATCCATATCAATTTTACAGAAGACAATGTTGAAAAAGCACTACACAATCTAAAACCATCTCTATCTATTGGACCGGACTGAATATGTGCCTACTTCTTAAAAAAGCTATCCACTGCCATAGCCAAACCTCTAAGCATAATCTTTGAAAAATCTTTCAGGACCAGTTCTTTGCCTAATCTATGGTCACAAGCCACAGTCATCCCCATCTTCAAAAAGGGAGACCCCAGCCTAGTTGAAAATTACAGACCAATCTCCTTATGCTGCGTCACCTGTAAAGTCATGGAATCAATTATTAACCAATCCATTATCCTCCACTTAGAGACAAACAACCTACTCTCTAATAAACTATTTGGTTTCAGAAAAAAACTATCCTGTAATCTGCAACTCTTACATTGCAAAAACATATGGACTACACAACTTAGTCAGGGCAAAACAATAGACACAATCTACATAGACTTCTGTAAAGCCTTTGATTCAGAGGTACACGACAAACTACTCCTAAAACTAAAATCTTATGGTATCTCTGGACAGCTGCATAACTGGATAGAAGCATTCCTGTCAAACAGACAACAAATGGTCAAAATTGGGAGTGTCCTATCAAATTCGGTACCTGTCAATAGTGGTGTCCCCCAAGGCAGTGTTCTAGGACCAACTCCCTTCATACTCTACATAAATGACCTCTGTGATCATATTAAGAGCAACTGCATTCTCTTCACTGATGATGTAAAGCTGTTCAATACCACAGACAATACTGCTACCCTTCAAAAAGATCTTGACTATGTATCAGAATGGTCAATCAAATGGCAACTTCAAATCTCAACAAATAAATGCTCTGTCTTACATATTGGCAAAAAAAAATATCAGAAAATAAAATACAAGCTGAATAGTCAAGACCTTGTTGATGATCCAAGCTCTGTAAAGGACCTTGGAATACTCATCTCTAATGATCTAAGTGCTACAGCCCACTGTAACTACATAACCAAAAAGGCATTAAGAGTTGTTAACCTAATCCTACATAGCTTTTTCTCTGGTGATATCACGCTACTAACTAGAGCATAGAAAACATTTGCTAGACAAATACTCAAATACAGCTCATCAGTCTGAAACCACCATTATGTATCTGATATTAGCACAGTTGAGAAAGTCCAGAAATATTTCACAAGAAGAGTTCTCCACTCCTCTACTCCTTGTAAAATACCTTATGCCACCAGACTTGAAACTCTAGACCAGAAAACCTTGAATTATGCCATCTTCAGTCTGATCTAAGTATGGTATATAAAATCATACATTGCTTTGTCACTTTGAAGACATCTAACTTCCTTGAACCAGTTAATGAGTAATTTTCAAAGATAGTTAGCAAGGGAAGTGCACCAACTTAGTGTCTTTGAACCTCTCAATTTGCAGCTACAGTACTTATGGTGAATTCCCACATCCGCCAATTCCCCCTCCTTCAGAATCCGCTGTCTTGCAGGCTCTTTGTAAGGAGCAACAATAAGGAGAAACAACTTGGGTGATCAGACATCTCTCTTATCATAGGAGCTGATCTACTAATCATTTCCTTATAAATGACTGCAAACATCTGTTCCACTTTTTTGCTGAAACTTCTTCAGTGTGCCATCTTCCCCTGAAATCCTGTTCTGCCTTTAACAGCATTTTTCTCTCTCCCCAAAAGGAAGTATTTTGAGCCAATCAATCCAAATGTCAGCATTCTAGCAAAACCCCATTCCAATTAGTAACTCCGAGACAAGCATATCTCAAAAGTACTTTTATTAGAACAGCAACTGGCACATCTGTGGAATCCCAAAGCTGAAAGTTTTGGGGCTTCTCACAATTCCCCAAACTACAAATCCATCCCCGCTTGGCCGACATCACATCACATGGCCCAATCACGATCTGTCCAAAAGTAATCCTTATTTCATCTTGAGCCATACTCAATGACCTTGAATTAAGAAAAGAATTTTATTTTGTCTACTTAGAGCTACTCATTTGAATCCCCTCCCCTCCCACTTTCTCTGGCATGTGGCAGCATGGAATATGGCTTCCAAAGCTGACACCAAGCAAACATTAGGAAATAAACTCATCTATTTTTATCCATGAAGTCTTTGCTTGCTTCTTAATCCATATCTTACAATAGCCAGTGTTTCCTTCATGTGGGTCTTTGAATTAAAAAAAATCTATTGTTTCTGTCAAACCTTATTCCTAGATGGCTTATGAACATATGTAACTACCTGCATATTCTGCGATACATCCTCAGCCTACAGCTGTTATAATGCTTGGCAGCTTCAATTGCAATCAGCTGATTGCTGATATCAAAATCCTAAGTGGGGAAATGTTGGCCCAGCAGCAGAAGATAAATAGTATTATGATGTTTCAAACACCATATAGGTTATCAGATGAAAGAACATATCTTGATTAGAAAACTACGGTTTTGAACTAGTGTCTTCTGAAAAACAAATGCATTGCTTCTCTTTCTCTCAATACTCTAACAGATCAAGCATTTAATTCATTTTAAAATTTAAAATACTTAGCATAGAATGACAGAACTGGTACTGGAATCCTAATGCTCTGGACTCTAGCTAACCAACAATCTAAAATCATTGCTATCTGTGTAGAATGACGACTGCTATTTTTCCATAAATCAAAGTACTATTCAAGTTTATCTGAGCCATTTTTCACACTGGAAGTAGAAAATATTACAAGAATGTCTATGAGTGGGTCCTTGGTGTTCTTTGACCTATTTTCTTGCAGACATTTCATTACCCAAACTAGATAACTTTGTCAGTGCTAGAATTTCTATTTCAGGGTTGAAATAAATTTCTAATAATAGCAATTTTCTGCCGTATCCTAACAGATATGGCTGTATGGGCTGAGAAATTCTGGGAGTTGAAGCCTACAGGACTTAAAGTTGCAAAGTTTGGATGCTCCCGTTCTAAGCTAAAACCACCACCATTGGAATCTTTGCTTCTACTCTCTTGTCTTCAACTCTTCAACGATCTTGTATTCTTTTGAATGCTTTTAGCATGTACATATCAAAATAACTGCCTGGAAATAGCATTTACTGGAGGTGTAAACAGAAGATCTATATCCTTATAATTAACTATACTTTTCTTGCTCTTGTTTACTTCATCTGTCTGGCGTTAAAATGAAGAGTCAAGTTAAAGGACCTGAATTAGGTGTGGTTTTCTACTCTCTACAAAATCTTAAGACTGAAATTAGTTTTCATGTTACAAGACTCTTAGTCAAGTTGACTTCAAAAGGCCCATTGCTCCTCAGCACATTTGTCATTAGCTTATATTATGTGAATCATAGTGCAGCACTAGGGGGCCAAAGCACTGAGATAACCTGAAACCAGTCCTTCCAGATGATACTGATTACTAGTTATATCACTGTTCTCCTCCATGCTGCTCCAAGAGTCCAGGAATGGGTACGATTCCTCCCTCTGACATCATCTGATTACTAGTTATATCACTGTTCTTTGCCATTTTCTTGACATGAGAAACTGAATGCGTTGATTTCACCCGATTTCTTTGCTTAATCTGACTACTCCGAGACACCAAAACAAACCACATAGAAGTTCTGCCACCATGACAATGCAATGGAAGGAATAATTTCAAATTAATTGAATGCCTGGTGTCCCTGCCACACCTACTATCTTGTATTCCAACTAATCCTTCGTGTATCATGCACTAAGTCAGCAAAAGACAGTTTTGGTTTCCAAACCTGTAAAGTCAGTTTAAACAATATAGGAGAACACATGATCCCACAGGATATTATGCAATGACTAAATTGCTCAGTTGAGAAGATCTGATTTCATGCCATCCCTCTATTCAGCTGTCTACTAGGATTTATAAGAACCAATCTATGACATTAGCTGTACAAATTAAGTAGAATATGAGCAACCCAAAGATTGTTCCTTACATAACTATGAAGCTTATTTAAGCAAGTAACCATTTTTAAAAAATGTAGAGTTGGAAAAGATGCTCCATATTAAAAAAATTCAAGAGAACAGCTTTAGAGGGCATTTAATATTTTCTACACAGTAGTCTGATTTTTATGAGAGCCAGTTTGGTGTAGGTTAAGGTATCTGTCTAGAACCCAAGAGACTATGAGTTCTAGTCCTGTCTGAAACACAAAGGCAAACTGACCTTGGCCTAGTAACTTTCATTCAGGCCTAGGAAAGAAGCAGTGGCAAACCTTGTCAAGAAAATACAGGGACTTCTCTAGGCAGTGTCCAATCTTGGACATGATTGAACAGAAGAAAAAAAAATGTTATTTATGAAAAAAGACAACTACAAAGTGGAATTTTCTTTCTCACCCAGAAAACCACAGTTGATTGCTGCATTTTATTCATCATTTTATCAGGAGTAAAAAGTATAAATTTTATTTTTCTGTTAAGGTATCAAGATGTAGTAGTGTTGCAATGTTGATGCAATGTATACTTTTGCACTTTGCAGGTTTATTCCTATTGGTTTTCCTCAATTGGTGCCTTTTGGATTAGCTATGCTATCTGGGGATGGTAATGGCTGTAAATCCAATGGATTTCAAAGGCATGAAATTAAGGAAGTCTGAATGTTTGATACTTGAGGTCTTTTTTTAATTACAGCAACCACAATAACCGAAACAGAAATGCCTTACTGACCTTAAGTTGGTGGACTGGTTTCTTTAAAATCAGTTTTTTCTAATTACTTTTCGAACAGCAGAGAGTGGCATGAATATGAGATCTTAATACCTCAATAAGAACGCATCTATTTCTTATAATTTCATTTTTATTTCTATAGAAAAGCATATTGGATCTGAACAACAAAAGCAGAAAGAACCCAAATTCAACATATTTTAATGCCGAGGGAACCTAGGGAAAGAGATCTGTCTTCTCAAAGGCATATTGAATATGTCCCAATAGTTCAAACGAATTAAGCATGAGTGGACTGCTAAAACATACTTTTAAATGAAAGTAGCCAGAGGAGGAAATACCTCTGGATGCTATGTGATACATTCCCACAATAACAAATATGTTTCTACTTATTTATACGTATCTGGTGCAAGTCTTAGAATGTAGTAATTCTGGAAGGAGAATTTTTATTTATTTAGCACCTGTACAATTCTGGCTTCACTTGTTTGAATTCAAAGGCAGTAAATATACTCCCAGGAAAATAGTAACTTGATTTGTTCATACCATTCTCTTCCATTTCTGGGAATGGAATTCCACACTGACACACAGTATAGAACCTTTTTAATTTTGAACTCATAAACATCCAATTTTAAAAATACTATATTTCTGTCAGAGGATGAGCTTCCTAAAAGTTTAAGTTAACACTTGAACTTTCCTGGATAACAGCAGCCTTTTAAAAATATTTTCTTCAATATCTGTCATTAACAATCTGTAACATTAAGGCATTTTGTCTATTCAGATGCAAAATTAAAAAGACATGCATTTGACTAACCAAGCAGATGTGACCAACAAGGTCTGAGCACTTCTGACCATCAGCGATCAAAATATTTTTCCTGTCATTTTAAACAGGTAAACATTTTAAACAGGCTAAGAAAGCAAATTTATATTTTCTTTTCAATATTACTTTATTTTTTTACAGTGATCATTTCAATGTATTTGTTCAAGTGAAAAATCAAGGCTACTGTTTATGTAGTTTAAGCATCTGAGCTACAAAAACTTACAATAAAACAATGCCCACATATCATTTAAACTCTATTTCCTTCTAATCCAGAAACAATTTTAGAAAATAAACTGTTTTACTTGACTAATGTCTGTAATACATAGACCGAATTTAAAAATACTGTCACCTAAAGCAAGGAAACCTTTGAGCACTGAAAGCTCAAGGGCAGCATTCAGTCAGGTTGGCTTTACAGAAGAAGTAGAGTCCAAATTACGCTCCATCCTTCCTCCTGAAAGCAAAGTACATACAACTGCACTCACAGAATTGTAAGCGAAATGCATCGGAGAGGTCCATCATCCTGTATCTGCAGTCTTGCTCAGTGCAGCCACAAAGTCATGTAGGCACTCCTTCCTCAGGTGTGTAAGATTCTTCCCTCCAACACTGAACAAGACCCCCTGCAGCAGTGAGCAGGCAGGTTTCGACTGGGTGGAAGGACAGTGACTGGACAGCAGTATTGCACACTGGCAAGGCCAAAACAAGGGAGCCCTGGTGGGGGGGAAAGGACAAAATGTAGCTACATGGGTCACAAAACCTACAGAGGACACAGATTATCTACAGATATATTATTTGCACAACTGTCATCACCACATAGGCTGGCACGAAGAAAATCTAACTTCCAGGCAGGGGTGGGATGCTACCGGTTCTGCCCGGTTCTAAAGAAACGGTAGCTCTGAAGAGCAGCAGACACCGAACTGGTTCTGTGTTTGCTGCTGTTTGGCCCGCCTGCCTGCCCAGGCTCTTACCTGTCCTTTATTTCCTGCTTTTTCAACCTCAGCTGCTTTGCACGGCACAGCTGAGGTTGAAAAAGCAGGAAAAAAGAGGCTTTTCAAACACTGCACACCTGCACGCAGCGCTTTTCAGCTGTTTGGGCGGCACAGTTTAAGGTTTTTTTACATGCACGTGCAGCAAAACATAGTCACCAAACCGGTAGTAACACCGGTTGAATCCCACTCCTGCTTCCAGGACTGCTTGTGACAATGCCCTCTCATTAACCCGCACGAGCTTAGAGAAGAAAATTGGACAAGGGATTAGGACAGATGAACCATCAGCAAAGCCAGTAATTTTATATAAATAATATTAAGAAGAAATTGTCCATATCTGATAATCTGAATTGAAAGATATACTACCTAACTCAAGATGAGAAATAAACAGTGTTAACCTTTTACAAATATAAGTCAGGCACTTAGCTTCAAGCCAAATAAACTTGCATAGAAATGCTTGACTCATGAACTTCAAATATAATACCTGGATCACTTATGTCAAGTGTCCTCTTACCTCTTAAGATTTCAGAACTTGCGTTGATACTGCTATTGTCCTGATTAATCTGTAAGTAGGTCTATTTAAACCACTAAGTAAGATCAAATGAAACAAACCAATAAAAACAACTATTTCTGTTCCCAATTTAGAGGTCTTTTTCCTTCTGATCATTAGTGGGTGCTGGGAAAAGAAGTGTAGCGTGCTTTGTTTCCAGAAAAAAAACTGGCTTTTCCAACAAAGTAAGACTTTGGTTACACTCCAGTGATTGGCTGACTAAAAAGTCAAATGACTACCACAAAGGAAAGGAAGCCCTTGATTTTCTCAGCCAATCCTGTTTACCTCAACCAGATCCCAGAAATAGACTTTTCCATCTTCTGAGCAGCTCCCAATATGTGTGTCTCTTTCACTCAGGCAGCAGTCCATCTTGTAAGTTACATTCTTGTGGCCGGTGTAGCTGGAGATACAATTGGGAAAAAAAGATTATTCCTGACCATCTTGGAAGATGTTTCCTCATCATGTCGCCTGAAGTTGCTACCAATCCTTGGATGAATAAGAAGTTAATTAAAAGGATACCATTACAAAATTTGACACAAACGTATTCATAGCCATAGAAGATCTTTACACTAAAATCTATTACATAATACATTTTTTAAACTCTATCATTAAAGAAAATGTCTTTATGTGAATAAAATATTTATGTGTATTTAAAGCAATTTCATCTTGCTTTCAGCATGTACTCATACTTCTATACTGGGAATAGCTGGAGTCAACCTTAGTCTAACCGCTAAAGGAAGCATTACAGTCAGGGGTGGGATACGACAGGGTTAACTACCGGTTCAGTGATTTACAAGGTTCGGTGATTTATGATGTGCTTCCCTGCACGCTGCGCACGTGCGCCTGTAAATCATCAGCAGCACACTGCGTGCAAAGAAGCAGCCTTTGAAACAGCCCTCTTTTCCTGCTTTTTTAACTGCAGCTGTGCCTTGCATGGCAGCTGAAGTTGAAAAATCAGGAAATAAAGGTCAGGTAAAAGCCCGGGTGGGCAAAAACATCAGCAGACATAGAACCGGTTCTATGTCTGCTGCTCTTCAGAGCTACTGGTTCTACAGAGGTGGACAGAACCAGTAGAAACCCACCCCTGATTACAGTTAACAGTGAAAAGTATTTGCTTACTCTCCTAGTAGCTCGCCTGTATCCTTGTCCAGCAATCGCAGTGTAGAATCCAAGCTAGCAGCCAGTGTGCATTGCCCATCCTTGCTGAAACATACACAGGTAATGGGACCTATAATGAAAACATGGCTACATTAGATGTTATTGCACCATGCAGTGGATACAAGGGTCTATGTGCATGAAAAGGAAAGAACCTGTTCAAAAAAAATAGGAAGGTATATTGCCTTGCAGGTATTACACCAAGTAACTATTGCTAACTATTGTCTAAGAGTATATGGATATATCATGGAGAAAATCTATGAGTCTACAGTGACAATGATTATATGAATTGATGGTGCATAATCATCAAATGTGGATGCTAGCCTGAAGATGTACTTGCAGACACATTTCAGTTTGAAGCTGATAGAAATCTACCAAACAGAAGATGAGAAAAACATCAGTTATTTGTCAAGCACAAGACAAGTAAAGGCATCATATCCCAGAACAAAGTGACATGTTCAAAAATATGTTTTTCACTTCAAATTATTGGATATTCCATATATGAAACTTACTTCCAATGTAGTCTGCACAGAGTTCTCCAGCACGGAGATCATAACGTCGGACACGTCCATCCACAGAACTGGGAAACAACAGAGCAGCATTGTTAAGAGAATACTCTGATCCTGAAGTTGCAAACCATCTATTTCAAAAATATCTGTTCTCAAACCAAAACATGTATCTCCTTATTCTGTAAGACTTTCTATGAGTGAGTTTGTATTATGGAATTTTGAAAGTTTCCAGTACAGTTGTACACATGTTCATGCATCTTCTCATATTTTAGGAAAAATTGACAGATGGTTTTAGATTCTGTTGCAAAAGGGGGAAAAGTTATTTTTTTAAAATGAAAACAGACATGGAAAAGTTGAGAATATTTAACATCTTCTGTAAAATAATCTATTCTGGATTTAGCAAAGCACCAAATTTGCCTTTTCCAATTCAAACTTCATCCTATCCTCCTTTACCCTGTAAGAATTTCATAGTCTGAGACTTTCAGACTGGAGATGCCATCTTTGGCTTCATCCAAGATTTGGATTGGATCTGGTCTGCGAGAGCGGCAATCCCAGCAACGGACACTGGAGTCAATGGAACCTGCAGGAAAGTAAAGAACCATGCTAAATAAATGCTAGGAAGAACAATCAAGAAGCAACATAGAAGGCAAGGAGATTTCTTACCTGAAAGAATGACAGTGGCCTCCTCATTGAACTGGACACAATTCACTTTCTGTTCAGTTGAAAAAAAAGGAAATATAAAAAGATTAGGACTTGCTATTGTTCTTAACTTATATTTAACTTTCCATTTTGGGGAGCTGAGTTTGGGGAGTGAGTCCAAGTCTGCATTATTTTCCCATTCCCTTCAAGGCTATTGCAAATAACAGATAACAGATAATCAGAGTTGGAAGGGACCTTGTAGGTCATCTAGTCCAACTGCCCACCCAAGCAGGAGACCCTACACCATTTCTGACAAATGGCAGTCCAGTCTCTTCTTGAAAGTCTCAAGTGATGGCACTCCCCCCACTTCCGAGGGCAAGCTGTTCCACTGGTTGATTGTTCTCACTAAACTGTATGCAAATTTGGCAGTAGCTGGAATTCCATACATTTATCTCCATTACTATTTCATCTATAGTTGTGCAAAGTATTTGAAGGCAAAATGTGTTAGCGTGAGTGAAGCATCCTTTCTCAAACTGGCTAAAGCAACCATATCCACTAGGAAGCTCACCATGACTGCTTAAACATTTTTTCTTGTTTGTCACAGCATACATATTATACAGAGCTATTTTGCTTTGTCAACAGACCCAGCAGAACTTTATCTGTATGTGCTCTGAAACAATTTCAAGGAGAAATGCCTTGTTCATATCTATCGATACGTTCTTTCCAACACATCTTTCAACTGTTTGTACAGCCATAGTTCCATCCCTCACCACAGCTAGTCAAACCTAGTAGTTTCATAACTATTAGGCATTATACTTTTCCTTAACGACTCTCTTCATCAGTACCACAGTACCATTTTTATTCCTACTTATTGCCCCTCACTATAATCCTCAACCAGAGACCTTAGTATTAGTTATGCATAGGTATATTCATTGTGTTTACATTTTTCCAATAAGATACAAGCACAAATATACTGAGCAGAAATTAAAATAGCATTCCATTTAACTGTGCTTATGAAAAGAACAGTTAATAAGCTATCATAATAATATTCCCAAGTCAAAACACTATAACAGGCTAAATACTTCTGGAGGCACATGACAAAGACAATATCTATGTGCCTCATAGCAGATGTGCTACTAAGCTTACAATTCCTTAGTTAGAATCACAATTATCTTAAACCCAACATCCCCTCAAAAAATGTTAAGAACACTGAAGCTACTTGTGAAAAGAGTTCATGTTGACATTGCCTCCTATAGACCATGCTGAGGCTAATACTTTACAGCATTGGTTCATTGCACAACAGCCCATATAAGTACATATATAAGCAGTTTATAGTATGCATAACTGCTGAACAAGCAAATGATTGCACTTTATAAAGGTTCCTCTTTCTTTGGAAGAATATGTTGAAATACGGAAGCTATTGGGGAAGATATTCTAAGCAAATTCAGTATGAGACATAGTCTTTCTCACCCATGTCTCATGTACAAGACCAAAATTCCTAATTCAGCAAATCAACTAGTGTCTTGTATTTTTTCATCTTAGAATTACAATTCCCTGTTTCTATAATCTTGTTTTCATTATCCATGTCTTCAGTAACATTTCTGACTTATCTGACAATTCTGAGTTCTAAGCTAGCTTTTTATCTCCCATTGTAAACATTTTATATTTCACAAGGGTTTTTTGTCAACCAGAAAAAAAACAGGAATTCCGAGACTCTCAGAAGCAGAACACATAACTGTTATCCTTAAAGGTAGAAACTCAGAGGAATTCATATTTCAAAAAGACATAAATCTTCTCATTTTCCAAGTACCCCAAAGGACAAAATACATCTTACCCCTGCATGGCCCCGGAACTTGCGAATTACTTGGCCTGTGGCAACATCCCATAGCACAACTGTTTTGTCTGCTCCACATGAACAAAGTTGGCTGTTATCAAATGACCTAAGGGAGACATCGATAAAGAGGGGAATAGGAAAAGCAAGAGAAATAATTTTCCTTAATATCTAAATAAAGAGTCATTTTCTTTTTAAAAACAGTATATGCAACTTTTCCATTGCAAGGTGTGACTGTAGAACATATTTTGAACTTCTCAATTTTTTAAATTTAAGTTTTCTGTCATTTTTAACAGCAAAAAAGGTTTAAATGAATGGACAAGATTTTAAAATATGAACATGAGTACAATTTCTTGGATAATAACTATCATTTTTTCCTTACCCAAACTTTACAGAAACATACTTTTACATAAATAATTAATTTTTTAATGTCATAGTATTTTTTTCAGATAAATTAGTTTTGTTAAGTTCGTTATAGTTATGTCAATATTTTCATTTATTTTTATTTCATTATGGAATTTTACATATTTGTATTTTTCAAAATATTTCTGTAAAGTTCCTTCCCCATCCTAATCCAGTTATTTTAAACTTTCTTAAAGTATTTTAATATTTTCAAAATAGTTGCATTTTTTAATAAAGTGGATCCACCTCCCCTAGTTCTTACCCTGCAGCATCTAGGACTTCATAGCCATGGCCACAGTATGTCTTGAGGAGAGTCCCTTTGTGTGGATTCCAAAGCTTAAGTGATTTGTCACTGCCACAGGTGAGACAGTAATTTCCATCCACTGAAAAAAAGAAAAATCTAATGTTGAGTAAATTCCAGGGAATCCCTGGAAGACAGTTTCATTTATCTTAGAATGATGCAAATTCTACTATTATTTCAAACTTTTTAACCCAACAAGCAGTATATATATCTCACTAGCTATCTTTTCATAATCCTTACAACTGTTTTCTTGATCTCTTCACAAGTTACTAAAAGCTTACAGTTATACACTATTAATTTTACATAAATTTGCTTCTGAATTTTCTCTAGTTCTAAAAACTGAACACTGCTATTTTATTTTATGGAATCAGAAATACACTCACCATTGAATCTCACTGCTCTTATAGCTCCTTGTTTACATTCTAATGTAGCAAGCAATTTTTGGGGAAGCTCAGGTTTCTTGGGTTTGGGTTCTGGAAATGCCATAACATAAATGTAGCTTGATTGCTAAAATAAATCCACATACAAAATATTGAACCTCCACTGCAAAATCTCTAGAATAAGGAATATCCTAAGGCAGACTGATGCATGTTGCTTCTGGGTACTTGCTGCCTCCTGAATTGCATTACCTTAATTGCAAAATAAAAGACACACAGAAGACATTTGTCGGTTGCAATCTCTTTTTGAGCAATCAATTTTGTTTCAAAAATAATGTATCAAAATAATTACTTCATGGCTACTTTCTAAACCAAGTCAAACATGTACTCCACATTTGCTCTGCTGAAGCAACATAAATATTTCCGTGTTGTATATAAAACATCTATTTGGAAAGCTGCTGAGTAACATCATGCCAGTCTTTTTGAGAAGGCTGTCAGCAGAACACACATAAATGATTTCACACCACGTTATCTTTACAAGTCTATCTTGCTTAAGTATACCTAGGGCACTTCAGAAAGATCTGCTGAGCATGCTCTTTCTTCAAAACGTTTACTTCTTTAGACACTAAAACAACACTTGATTGTTCTTTGTAGTGTCTTTCTTACACCATAAGAAAGTTGTACAAATAGACTCTGACTATCATAATTGAGTCCAACATTTATGTTGCTCGGTGTCAACTCATTTGTTAAGTGAGTTTTCCCCAGTTTTACAACTTTGCTTGCCACAGTTGTTAAGTGAATCATTGCAGTTGTTAATAACCTGGTTGTTAAGTGAAACTGGCTTCCCGATTGACTTTGCTTGTCAAAAGGTTGCAAAAGGCGTTGACGTGATCTGGGGGACACTGCAATTGTCATAAATATGAACCAGTTACCAAGCATCCAAATTTTGATCACATGACCATGAGAATGCTACAATGGTCATAAATGTGAAAAATGGTCATAAGTCACTTTTTTCAGTAATATTGTAACTTTAAAAGGTTACTAAATGAACTGTTGTAAGCTGAGAATTACCTGTATTGGACTAGAGAAGGAAAGGACTGAAACCATTTTTATTAGACCAATTGAAGATTCACAAAATCACAAGCTTTTTAATGTCCAAAAGGGATCAGGCAAAATGACCAAAAATTCAGGATAAAGCAGAGAGAAGAAACGTTGGGGTTGAGATTTGATTAGGGCTACAAACAACCAGACAACCACTAGTTGGCAGCAATGATTTAGCCAAATTTCTTTTTTGTTTCCATCAAATGTCTATGGAGATTTTCAGTCATCCAGGTCATGGTTGTCCCAAAGGTACTTTTTCCCCCCACTAGCCCGCCAGAGCTGAAGAAGCTTCTTGGATGAGAAGCGAAACGTCTTTAAAGAAAATCCAGTTGCCTCTTGATAAAAGGCACCTTTGGGTTTCCATCAAATGATGGTTGGACTCTCGCAGTAGTAGACAATGCTACTAGATGGGATAGTCTCCGGATAGTCAAATGAAGTTTTTAACCAGGCCAGGGATTCTTTCAAAGCTCGAACTTTGTATATATATATAAGAAGCCAGTTATTGCAATTAAACCTCTCCCCTACCCGCCCGCCGCCGCCTCCTCGGATCATGGAACTATGCATGTGGGGAAATAGTTCACATTTCTCAGTAACCTCTTGCAGGTTTTACTTACGAAATCGCAAGAAGAACGATTACAGGGAAATGCAGGCGTCGACTCGTCAATTTACTCCTCCAATCTAGTTTCATTAGTTCCACCCCCACTCGGCATAATTTCCTCAAGCGAGAAAGGGCGGGCTACAACATTCCTCCTCCTCTTCCTCCAGAAATTTCAGTTTCAAGGCCTTTCCAGTGTCAACTTAAGCGTAGATTCATAGGCCGGAACAAAAGCGCTTAAACTCGGGGGTGTTACAGTCTTAATCACCCCCCCTCTGGGCTCTGAAAGGAAGCGGAAGTTGCTGCAGCCTCGAAAGGAGGTCGTTCTCAGCACAGTAGTGTATTCCGCGGCTCAGGGGGATGTCTAGCAACAGTATGGCAGATCCGCGGCGTCCCAACCGCATTCTCAGGTCAGGCTGCAGCGTGGGATTGGGAGTTGGCATGGTAACCTCACGACTTGGGTCCGGAGTTGCTGTAGAACGGAAGGAGATTGAACGGACAAGTCACGCACGATGACACGTGACTTGCCCGGGGTCACTATGGCAACATCGTAACGAAGTCGCGAGTTGGTGGGGGGTCTGGTTACTGTCTTTTTAGGGACGGCGAGTGAAAAATCGCATAGGCTATGCGGCGGGGAACACGTCTTTTCATGGTAGAAAAGGGAGACTACTAGTAGAGACGAATATTGCGAAAGGGCAGATAGTTTCAAACGATCAAAGTAGGCCCTGAATCTACGGCAATAATACCCATGAGTAATCTGGTGAGAGAAAGAGGTTATTTACATATTCGTTTAATTTTGAAAGGTCAGGGAGACGTTGGCCTTGCTAGTTATGGGTGGGTCTGCAAAGAGAGAGAGAGAGAGATGGCATGTATGGCATGTATGGTATTCAGCTTTGTTTGGGTATTTTCCCACGTCATTGTGCTTTTAAAGTTGTAGCAACCTTTCTGCAGAATCTCATCTGCCATCATCAGGCTTCTGTATTGTGTTCGTCAATACAGAAGCCAGATGATGGCAGATGAGATTCTGCTGAAACGTTGCTACAACTTTAAAAGCACAACTATAATGAGGTGGGAAAATACCCAAACAAAGCTGAATACCATACTTGTAAGTACCCACAAAAACTCAAGAATATATATATATTCTGAGGTTCTTGCGGGTATTTGTGGATCTTTGGTTATTCGGGTTTTCTCCCGCGTAAGATTGGAAGTATCTAGGCAACGTTTTGATGAAGTCTCATCATCTTCAGGCTTGCGTTTTCGGCTCTGTGCTGCTCAGAGTGATGTGAGCTTCGTTACAAGCACAGAAGCACAGAGCTGAAGACACAAGCCTGAAGATGATGAATGAGACTTCATCAAAACGTTGCCTAGATACTTCCAATCTTACGCGGGAGAAAACCCGAATAACCAAAGATCCATATATATATGTATATATGTATGTATGTATGTATATGTATGTATGTATGCATGTATGGTATTCACCTTTTTGGGGGTATTTTCACACATCATTATAGTTGTGCTTTTAAAGTTGTAGCAACATTTCGGCAGAATCTCATCTGCCATCATCAGGCTTCTGTATTGTGTTCACCTGTGTTCGTCAATACAGAAGCCTGATGATGGCAGATGCGATTCTGCAGAAACGTTGCTACAACTTTAAAAGCACAACTATAATGACGTGTGAAAATACCCGAACAAAGCTGAATACCATACATGTAAGTACCCGCGAAAACTTAAGAAAACATATGTATGTATGTATGTATGTACACACACACACACACACACATACAAAATGAAATGATAACAAGAGCTAGAGGTGGGTTTTTTTCTTTGTTGCCCAGTTCTTTTAATTCTAGCGTAACTACTTTTAGTAGTTGTACTAATTGATGACTATGTAGAAAGGCCCAGGGATACTTAATATTACAACTTCAAAGGAAGGATAAATTGTTACCTGAATAAAGCCTGGGAAAGCATAACATAGTTTGATATGGCTAATTTCAAACTAAAGCTTCAGTTTAGAGAAAAATGCATTGGTATATTGAAATAAGATAGGCATGGCTCAAGTCCTTTTATTTTAAAAGTACATTACTAAATTATCAATAAGTTTATGTTTGGTTGAGTATGCTTGCTATACTACTTGATATGCATGAGGGAAGAGGCAATATACCTTAGATAAAATGTGGACATATTTTTTCTGCATTATAGAATACATGTAGTGAAGTTTAGTAAAAACCAAAACTAGTAATTATGGCTTGAGTTTCAGGAAGTACATTGGAAAACTGAATGAAGAAATACAGTGGAGTGGTTGTTTGCATATGAATCTGTAAAATAGAATTATTGAAATACATTTTCATGATTACATTTAAAAATCCATTATAAATGCATATCAAGAAGGATGTGAAAAGGTGGGGAAGGGTGAATTAATCCCATTCTCTGCTCATCACAGAGCTTGAGATTCCCAATGAGAATGCAGCAATTGCCGTTGTTATTCTGAAGACAGTCAACACCCACCCTTTTAGAAGAATGAAATATTTTAGGAAATATTAAAAAGGCAGAATATTATATTTTCCTGGATGAGAAAAGAAGAAACATGTTTTTAAAGACAAAGCAACTCTTGCAGCTCCCTGGCCCCAGCAGATATTTGGTGTCCATTGAGGACTGAGGCAGCCTATCTACAGAACAAAAGACCTCAGCTTCAAGGTGATGGGATTAAGACATGACCCCCCAGGACATAATAGGATTATCTATGGTATCAGCAGAGCTCACCACATGGCACAACCAAGCCCCTTCATTACATCAGCCTAAGGTTCAACCAACCTTAATTCAGACAAACATGACTCCACATGGGAGTCTGCAACCAATAGAATACATGCCCTGGCCACAGGAATAGGAAGTTCAAGTTCAAAGCCCAAGAGAGGGTATAAATGACACTCACTCTTCACTCCATGTGGTGAGCTATCCAGGACTTCAAACCCATGTGGTCCTGTTAACCATTAAACAATCCTTCCAAGCAGCCTCCATGTTTCCAGTGTCTTTCTCCCTACTTGGAACTGAACCTAGATGGACATTTCTTCCAACAATTCCAAAGCACTCCTAATGTTCAAGTGAAATTTAATCTCATGACTTCAACTATCAAATCTGATCCTGATAATCATGTTTGTCTTATCTGAAATTAAGATAATGTACAACATGATTTGTTTTTGCCATAATAGTCACATTTTTTCCAGTAGTTTTTCTGGGTATTATTTTTGTTTAATCTCAAAATTTAAGAAATAACTAAGAGCAGATGGTAGTAACTAATTCAGTAATGCCAAGTGCAGCTGTAGAAATATACCCTTGTTAAACAATGTAGTTAAATTGGGCTACTACAAATTAGATTGTACAATCATATGTGTGATGACTTACGGCTATACCAATTGATTTTAGAAGGATTTATATCCAAGTAAGTGTACAGCAAGTTGCAAATTTGTACTAGATTTGCAATCTCTCTGCATTGAGATGTTTTATGATTAAGGAGTAATCTGTACTGCTGCTTTTACTCTTTTCTGTCAAGCAAACTTTTGAACAACCTGTGGGATGTCCAGGGCATACAACAAACTAAATAGGCCAACATAGTAAGAAGAAAGATTAGAAAAGAGCTCTATATCTTTTTCATGGTTTTTATTTTAAAAAACCCCTTTGGTCAAGGGAATCCAATATAGAGAGATAATTCATCTTGATTTCTGGCCCTTAAATGTTAGTTTTTCCTACACAGATAGGCTTTGGTTTATGTCTATTCATTCAGTGGCCATTCAAAGTTACAGTGGCACTGCAAAACTACACCACAAACTTACAACCAGCCCTTGAAGCTGGTTGCCTACCCAGATAGTACTTGGTTTACATTCATATGTTCATTAACCATTCAAAGATACAGTAGTGCTGAACCCACTGGAACTATGGACTTACAATCAGCCCTTGAAGTTCCAGCTGTTGCAGCATCCCTATGGTTGTCTGATAACGATCTGGGAGCTTGGGTGCCCAGCCCACAATTATACATCACAGCAAGCCACATCATGTGATTGCCATTTGAGGGCTTTTATGCCGGTTTTGAGCAAACTGTCAATGGGAAAACTGGCAGGGAAGCTTGCAAGTCGCTCCAGTAAGTAATTTTTTTCTGTTTTTTTCCCCAGAGGAGCTCATTATGGACTATGAGATCCCAGAGATCTCGTATTCTATAGTACACTCCGTCATCTGTAGCTCATGCCTGTCTGCAGCACTTTTGCTGGCCCTCCTCAGCCTCTGAGGCCCACACCGACCTGCTGGTGCTTCTTAGTGCCTGCAGTGCCTCCTGTGGCACCTGCACAATTCCTCCTGTGCTCCTTACTTGGGACTCGTACCTCTTCTCACTCCAGGGATTACAACAGAAACTGGGACTGCCTGGATTGCCATCATTAAACAATGCAATCTGGTGATGTCATGTTTTACACCCACAACATTTAATGAAGGCAGTCTTGGTCTGATTGCCTAAGTACTACCTTTGTGAGCCTTACATATTGAACAGTTAGCCAGTAATTCATAATATATTTTTTATTATACTATTTAATATACTAGATTACACTTTAACAACCAGAACTGGGACTAGCAAGTCTTATCATTAGGGGAAATGGTCACTAGGTGAAACTACAATGTTTATATTCTTACTCCAACTTTATTTACAGAGCCGTGAGGGTCACAAATGTGAGGATTTGTAAAGTTATTTTTTCATCACTGCCATAACTGTGATGGTCTCTAAACAAGGCAATTGCTAAATAAGAATTCCTTTTTTCCTTCCATTCAATCATGTTTGATTCTTGGATATTGACTGGAAAAGTCTCTATAGTTTTGTTGGCAAGGATTTTCAGAGAAGGTTTACCATTGCCTCCTTTTTAGGATTAAGAAAAATGTTTAGACCGAGGTCATCCAGTTGGCTTTATACCTAAGGCAGGACTAGAACTCCTGGTTTCCCAATTTCTAGCCTGGTGCCTTAATTACTACACCAAACTGGCTGTCAAACAAGGACTACCTGTACACAAATATTATAGAGTTTAATTTAATTTACTCATAATCTGTTTTTCTTTTTTGTCCATATTAAAACAAGACTCTTCTCCTATTGTTTGGTCTTTATTATTTGAAGTGGTTGAAACAGAATAGCCTTAATTAAAATTTAGAGAGAGCTTTCTGCAGTGTGCCGAAGTTCACTTGGGGAAAAATACTGAATATTGATACCATTTCTTTTTTTTTTTTTTTTGAACTTGTATGAAAGTTCTATTTTTTGCAGGGAAAGTAGAGTTTATGTTTTGCTCATCGCTTCAGAATTGTTGCTGGAAATATTTATTTTGGGTTTGAATACAATGTAATACTTTTGCTTTTCCTTATAATGAATTTTTATTTGCAGATACAAGCCTCCAACTACAGAAAACAACCCTACTTTAGAGGATCCTACACCAGATTATATGAATTTGCTAGGGATGATTTTCAGCATGTGTGGCTTAATGCTAAAAGTGAGTATTAGAATACCCAGGTTTTGACTGAAAGACATCAAGAGCTGAACAAATCAAGTAAAATGTTTTACTACTTACATATTATTATACAATTACTGAATTGCTATTGGATATTATAATCCTAGCATTTTTCAATAAAATCTGGATTATTTGTAATTCCAGGTTTCTTTCTTTCTGGGGTTAAATAACAGATAATCAGAGTTGGAAGGGACCTTATAGGTCATCTAGTCCAACCCCCGCCCAAGCGGGAGATCCTACACCATTTCTGACAAATGGCAGTCCAATCTCTTCTTGAAAGTCTCAAGTGATGGCGCTCCCACAACTTCCGAGGGCAAGCTGTTCTATTGGTTGATTGTTCTCACTGTCAGAAAGTTTCTCCTTATTTCCAGGCTGAATCTCTCCTTGTTCAGTTTCCATCCATTATTCCTTGTCTGGCGCTTTAAAAAATAGCTTGACCCCTTCCTCCCTGTGGCAGCTCCTCAAATATTGGAAAACCGCTATCATGTCTCCCCTGGTCCTTCTCTTTACTAGACTAGCCAAGCCCAGTTCTTGCAACCGTTTGTTGTATGTTTTAGCCTCCAGTCCCCTAATCACCCTGGTTGCTCTTCTCTGTACTTTTTCTAGAGTCTCAACATCTTTTTTATAATGTGGTGACCAAAACTGGATGCGGTACTCTAGGTGTGGTCTTACTAAGGCTTTATAGAGTGGTATTAGTGCTTCCCTTAATCTTGACTGTATCCCTCTGTTAATACAATTTAGGATTGCATTAGCTTTTTTGGCGGTGGCTGCATACTGCTGGCTCATATTTAGCTGGTTGTCCACTAAGACTCCACGATCCCTCTTACAGTTACTGCTATTGAGCCTGGTTTCATTCAGTCTATAGGTGTACTTTCGGTTTTTCTTGCCTAAGTGTAGGACTTAACTTTCCTCTACTTTGAATTTCATTTTGTTGGATACGGCTCAGTGTTCTAGTCTTTCAAGATCCATCTGGATCTTAAGCCTATCTTCTTGGGTGTTAGCTATTCCTGCCAGCTTAGTATCATCTGCAAATTTGGTAAGTTCCCCTTCTATTCCCTCACCTAAGTTGTTAATGAAGATATTGAAGAGTACTGGGTCTAAGACGGAACCTTGTGGCACCTCACTGCTTACTTCCCTCCATGTGGATTGATTACACAGTATTTCTCAGAAATTTTTCTGCCAACTTTCAAACATTGACTAGTTACTATTGAACATTTAGCAATAAATTAATAGCTTAATGTTTCAATTCATATTGATTTGAAGTTTATTTTTAACAGTTTTAGCTAAATTTATATAGGCTGTTGGATATGTATTAGTGTAAATTATTCCAGAAGAAATCAAAACTGACTTTAAAATCTGTATAAGCATTGGGGGGCATTATAAATGATAGAATAGTTAAATGAAATTCCTTTAATTAGAAGAATACTTTGCTATCTATGCTGCAGGAAATACATAAAGATATATCCTGTGTGAGGACTCTTTTCATTAATTTCAGTTTGATTCTCCCTAAGGGATCTTAACTGTGCCTACAGGATAATGTGTCTTCTGTGTAAAAGTGATATACCCATTACTGGTGATAGTACCATCATATATCATTGTTTTTGAAAATATATGTAATTATTTTACAACAACTCATTCAGATCTCAATTCTAGATTAAAATATCTAAGAGTTTAATTGTATCAGATCACTTCTTAGCATTAACAGACATACATTAATAGTAATTCAACTGTTCTGAATGGATGGCCTGCACAAAATAGCAATTACAGTAATGTAATTGAGAAGCCATCATCAGGTTAATATATATATCGAAATTCAGTTTAATTATGACATAAATTTAAGTCTTACTCAGTATCATTTATTTGATCCTCAATCATCAGCATCTTTCTTTTTACAGATGACCAAGGCATTATTCGCATAATAATAGTCCACACCTGTAATATGAAATCTTTTAACTAAAATAATCTTGAGGGGGGGAGGGAGGAAGAGAGAGAGAGAGAAAGAGGGAGGGGGAGAGAGAGTGAGAGAGCACTTTGCATGAGTTTCTATTTGAGGTGACACTATACAAAGTTTAGGAAAAATCCATAAAGACCTACATTGTAATAACGGTGTGTTGAAATGTGGTTTTCACAAATAATAAAATTTCTATCTGAATGTCTGTAAAGATTCTCAATCATTTAGGTTATGGTTGTCTCAATTCTGAATGTGTTAATAAAATGTTGAATAACCATTGATGTCTTTTTCTAGTCTTCCTTAGAAGTTCTGCAGTACTAATTCTCAACATATATATTTTTCTTGTTAGGATTATTAAATCACACAACTTCATATGTCAAATATATTTCTTTTGAAATTAGAATTTTCAGTTTATATTTCTCATTGTTAATGGCATTTAATTCAATAGAACCAAGTGAAAAAGTCTGAGTTCATTAATATGGCTTTATTTTTGTCATATGTATTCTATAAGCAACTTTGTCATGATTATGCTTTAGCAATATTTATTAATTTTTAAAACAACAGGCTGTTCCTGAACTCACAGGAAAAAGAAAGTGGAATATTTATAATATTGTTAAACTTTAATAACTCTGATGTATCTGTGATACACACCTGTATTATGAGGTTCTCATAATATTTTTCCATGGTGTTTGCAGTTAAAATGGTGTGCTTGGATTGCTGTCTACTGCTCATTTATCAGTTTTGCCAATTCTAGAAGCTCAGAAGACACCAAACAGATGATGAGCAGTTTCATGTAAGCCATGTTTTTACTTCTTTCAGACTTGTATTATGTCTGATTTGCTATGGTATTCATTTCTGAATACATAGGTCATACCCTGGAAATACTTTCTCAGGAATGCTAATTACAAAGTTCACAAAATTCCAAATAGTCTACTTGATCAAAAAGCTTACTGATTCTTGTTTTTCTTTTAATTTGAGTAGCTTTCCCTCTGATAGTGACTCATTTTATAATACTTATGTTCAAAGTAAAAGCTATTTCGCTTTTCATCAAAGTGTAGCCTTGATGCTTCATTGTAGATTGATAATTGAACCTGCCTTCTCTTCCTCCTTTCTGCTGAGTTTATACTCCTTTAATAACAGTGGGGTATATCACCCACTGATAAGAAAAATGGCCAAATAATGGAATCTAGAAGACTAGCTTTTGTGGTAATCTTTTGTTAGCTTCTGTTGCCTGAGCATCTCCATTTGTCTCTTTTCCTTTAACATGTATATGAGGGATTCAGACAAATTTGCCTATAGACATTCACATTCTACATGTGGAGAATAATAACCTAAGATTATAAATCACCACAAGCTCCAGGTCACCTCAGTGATCTGATCTCCAGACATTTTCATGTTTATTTCTACAGGGAGGAAATGCCTGAAAATATCAATGCATTTGAAAATTAGATCACTTGGAAGACTCAACTTGCTTATTCAATTTAAACTCTTTGTGAAGCCTTAACAGGGCTGCTTTTTATTTTTCCCCCTGCTTAATAAGTTCTTATTTCATCCTTATTCAGTTTCCTTCCTTCCATTTTTTTTCTTCTCTTTCCTTTACAATGCAACTACCAACTACCTGTATTTCCTTCTTTCTTCTTTTTTTGCTATTTTATTGAAAAACTATTTATACTCTTATTTTTGTACGAGGAAGTTTTCTGTGTATAAGATTTATGTATGTAGATACCATGTTTCTCCAACAATATGGCCTCCCCCAATAGGAAGTTCCAGCATGTTTTATAGGCATAAAATCAAATTAAGCCCCTCCCCCCAAATTAAGGCCTATATTAAACATGCAAAATGGGGGAGAATGGTGGGGGGAGGCTTGCCGTTAGGAAGTACTTTTGTTGCATACCCAGATATGGTGCTGCCTGCGTTGACTTCAGTGTTGGTGGGGTACTTCGTATCGGGAGACCTTACGCCACCATTGCTTTCCCTTCTCCCTGTGTTACCGCGGTGTTTATAGCAACGCCGCAGCATTTGGCGCAGCAACACGCGGCCAGCCAGTGCTTCTCCCTGCAACCGGAGCCCGGTGGAGACACTCGGCTTCAGACGCTCCTGTTGCAGCCTTCCCTTCGCCTTCGAAGGCAAAGCCAATTCTTTTAAAAACGATGCCCTACTACCAGTACGACAAAGCCTCCCCTGCCCGAGAGGGCAGCCTAACCCCATGTGGGGAGGCAAATCTCCCGGAGCCGCAGCACAGGATTGGCCCACCCCGGGAGAAGCGTCCAGCCACCATCCCTGCCTGGTGCCAGGCAGAGCGCGAAGAGCTTCGCCTGGGGCACCCAGCACAGCTGACAGGCGGGTCCTCCTGCCCGGCGGTAGAGCTCTCGCCTAGGCAGCGAGCGCCTCCCCGCCAGGCCCTCCGCTCATCCCGCCAGGGCCACACCAGGGCTGGGCAGAGCCGGGAAAGCAAGCTGCGGGTGCGCGCCTACCTGCCAACTGAAAGAGCCGGGCCAACCCGAGCTTGGCTTCCTTCCCAAGTCCCTCCAGTCCGAACCCAAAGGGGCCACTGGGAGAGGCTGCCCAAGGCAGTGATAGCACCTGCCCATCCACGGACAGGGAGGCGAGGTGACAGCAGCGCTGCTTCCCTGGCCGACGGGTCCAGCAGAGAGAGCCCGAAGCCGCCCGTCCTTTCCACCCCTCACCCAACTCGTCCCCGTCCCCACGCATCTCCAAATGCGCCGGCAGCTCCAAACACAGCGGCACGGGCATTGGGCAGAGGCGCTCACTCGGCGGGGTTCAGCTCGGAGGAGGACGTGGCGCAGGCCGTCACCTTGCTTCCCTGTCCACGGATGGGTGGGTGCTATCACTGCCTTGGGTGGCCTCTCCCAGTGGCCCCTTCGGGTTCAGGCTGGAGGGACTTGGGAAGGAAGCCAAGCTTGGGTCGGCCCAGCTCTTTCGCTTGGCAGGCGGGTGCACACCCGCAGCTTGCTTTCCTGGCTCTGCCCAGCCTGCACGGCTCTGGTGCAGCCCTGGCGGGATGAGTGGAGGTATTTGTTTTGTGAGCCAGTACCATTAGTCAGATAGTTGAGGCTTCAAGGGCAAGAAGTGTTCATTTAGTTTCTCAGTTGCTAATTATTGCTGAGGAAAACACTTCAAGAAATAAATTTAGTTTGATGAGCAAATGTATTTTTAATTTGACTACCTATTTTGGAAAGTTGGGATAACTGTAATTAATTTTGATATTACTGTGGATAAAATGTTAAGGATTCTACATTAATTCTGTCACTACTCTCTTTTTTCCAGGTTGTCTATTTCTGCTGTAGTGATGTCCTATCTTCAAAATCCTCAGCCCATGTCTCCTCCTTGGTGAAAAGATAACACTTTTCTTTAAAACTCATCTTCCCAAGTAGATAGGTTCAAAGTGAAAGGTTTTCTTACACAACATAAATTTAATTGCACAGGTATGCTATTGCAGCATATTGGGAATATTTACTTTGCTATATCAATAAAGTAATTATTGTTAAATATGCATTGGCTACCTTGCTAAATTTTCTTAACATGTTAAGAATGCATTTTATTTGAGTACAACTCTGAGCCAAGCCTATATAAACAAAGAATTCTCAGTGTATTTCCTGGACTATTAGGAGGATCTGCTCCATAGAAAAAAGAACCAGTGTGGTCCAGAAATAAGTTTATCATCAATGAACATACACTGCTCAAAAAAAAATAAAGGGAACACTTAAACAACACAGTGTAACTCCAAGTCAATCACACTTCTGTGAAATCAAACTGTCCACTTAGGTAGCAAGACTGATTGACAATCAATTTCACATGCTGTTGTGCAAATGGAATAGACAACAGGTGGAAAGCATAGGCAGTTAGCAAGACCTCCCCAATAAAGGACTGGTTCTGCAGGTGGTGACCACAGACCACTTCTCAGTTCCTATGCTTTCTGGCTGATGGTTTGGTCACTTTTGGATGCTGGTGGTGCTTTCACTCTAGTGGTAGCATGAGATGGAGTCTACAACCCACACAAGTGGTTCAGGTAGTGCAGCTCATCCAAGATGGCACATCAATGCGAGCTGTGGCAAAAAGGTGTCTCAACGTAGTGTCCAGAGCATGGAGGTGCTACCAGGAAACAGGCCAGTACATCTGGAGACATGGAGGAAAGCCGTAGGAGGGCAACAACCCAGCATCAGGACTGCTACCTCCACCTTTGTGCAAGGAGGGACAGGAGGAGCACTGCCAGAGCCCTGCAAAATGACCTCCAGTGGGCCACAAATGTGCATGTGGCTGCTCAAACGGTCAGAAACAGACTCCATGAGGGTGGTATGAGGGCCCAACATCCACAGGTGGGGGTAGTGCTTACAGCCCAACACCATGCAGGACGTTTGGCATTTGCCAGAGAACACCAAGATTGGCAAATTGGCCATTGGCGCCCTGTGCTCTTCACAGATGAAAGCAGGTTCACACTGAGCACATGTGACAGATGTAACAAGGTCTGGAGATGCTGTGGAGAACGTTTTGCTGCCTGCAACATCCTCCAGCATGACTGGTTTGGCAGTGGGTCAGTAATGGTGTGGGTGGCATTTCTTTAAGGGGCCGCACAGTCCTCCATGTGCTCACCAGAGGTAGCCTGACTGCCATTAGGTACCGAGATGAGATCCTCAGCGCCTTTGTGAGACTATATGCTGGTGTGGTTGGCCCTGGGTTCCTCCTAATGCAAGACAATGCTAGAGCTCATGTAGCTGGAGTGTGTTAGCAGTTCCTGCAAGATGAAGGCATTGATGCTATGGACTGGCCCGCCCGTTCCTCGGACCTGAATCCAATTGAGCACACTGGGACATTATGTCTCGCTCCATCCACCAACGCCACGTTGCACCACAGACTGTCCAGGAGTTGGGGGATGCTTTAGTCCGGGTGTGGGAGAAGATCCCTCAGGAGACCATCTGCCACCTCATCAGGAGCATGCCCAGGTGTTGTAGGGAGGGCATACAGGAACATGGAGGCCACACACACTACTGAGCCTCATTTTGACTTGTTTTAAGGACATTACATAAAAGTTGGATCAGCCTGTAGTGTTTTTTCTACTTTGATTTTGAGTGTAACTCCAAATCCAGACCTCCATGGGTTGCTAAATTTGATTTCCATTGATAATTTTTGTGTGATTTTGTTGTCAGCACATTCAACTATGTAATGAACAAAGTATTTAATAAGAATATTTCATTCATTCAGATCTAGGATGTCTTATTTTTGTGTTCCCTTTATTTTTTTGAGCAGTGTATTTTAAAAATTGGTACTTGAACCTAATTAGCATACAACAGAAACAATATCTTGAGAAATATAAAGCTTTGTGTATCTATAGAAGTAGCCAACTTTCCATATAGCTTTTAATCAAAATAGTGTGTTGTAGAGCTATGTACTAGTTTTGAATTTCTAGCACTATTATTTATGAAGTATATAAGACAAGGATCTTTCCAAGTACAATTTTAAAAAGATACCCTCAGTTCAGTGGTGGGATTCAAAAAAATTTATTACTGGTTCTGTGGGCATGGCCATGTGACTGGGTGGGTGTAGCTTTTTTTTTTTTTTTTTTTTTTTGCAGCCCCCACCCGTTTTGGGAGCTTCCTAGCCTCAGAGGAGCCTCGAGGGGGGGGAGCACTCCTCTGGGGCTCTGGAAGGAAAAGAACGGAGGGGGGGGGGGCTGAGCTCCTCTCTCCATTTTTTGCCTTCCTGGGCCTCAGCAAGGGGAATCCCGGCACAGCTGATCTTATCTACAGCTGATTATCGCGAGGGGAAAAAAAGAAATATATACCTTAGGCGAATGTCAGGCGGGTGGGGTAAGTGAGCACCGGGCAGAGAGCGGCTGGGTCGGGGGCGTGGCTAGGCAGAACTTACTACCGGTTCGGCAACCCACACCAAATTTTTGCTACCGGTTCATCCAGTGCGAACCGGCTGAATATCACCACTGCCTCAGTTATATCAAGAACTGGACGAATCCAGAGAGAATTGTATTCATTCGCTATGCAGTGCCACTACTTTTTTGTAGGAACATTTAATCTATGTACTATAGTATTTAACAGCATTCTCCTCGTTGATATGCTTTGTATAAAAGGGTTCAAATTTGTATTAGAGCAGGCATAGAATGGAGAGGCCACAACACTCTTAATTTCTGAGAAAGTAATTAGAAGCACCTTTAGTCACGGACTCAGGAATATTTTTATCTTTTTTTACTCAAACAAGACTGAACAATTCATAAGTGAAAGAGTGGCCGCTTTAGGCCTTTTGGGTTGCTTCAAAGCAGTGTTCTTTGGCTAACTTCCAAAGACTGGATTGCATCTGGTGATTCATGAGCGCTCCCATCTCTTTCTTTCCCCTTCCCACTCCCTGCTTGCAGCTTTCCTACTTCCAGACAATGCTAAACAGCCTGAGGAAATGGCACAGCTGGGATATTGAGGAAAGGGGTGCATATCAGGATGGAGAGTACATGGTCTGGCATTCAGTAGGAAGGAAGACTGGCCTGAATTTGTGGGGAATACAGAGGACTATCTGTTATTTGTTGGCGTATCCTATATGTTGATAACAGATCATAAGGAAGAAAAATTAGATTATATTGAGCACATCTGCAAAAAAAAAATTCTGAGAAATACGGCTAAATACTGTGGCTTTCTTTCTAAGGATTTCTATTCAGATCCATTTTAATACGGATTCATTCTGGAATGCTAACCGACTGCATTGTCACAAATGCAGATTGCCTCTGTCGCTTGGGAAATCGGTATTTCCTGCTTTCAGACTACTAAAAGCGTCTCAGCAAGAAGAAAAGGATGCAAAATCTGTAGAGTTCTATTATAGACACAGTTCTCAAGGACAACTGAGCATATTTTTTCAACTTTGTGAGGCTTGCTTATAGGTGGGGTGGTGATAATTCTCACAGCATGTGTTGTGTTGACAGAGCTAGGAACTGGCATTTTGTTCGAAAGGAAAGCTGTGTGATGCATTGTTTTTCTTTCTGTACCACTAGAGGCCACCTACAGTCTTGTCCTAAATTGCTCCCATGCAGTGTAATGTTATGAATGGGCTAATGAAGGGAGGGGGGGTATGTTATGGGGCAAGACGATTTGCAAGGAGTATGGGGATAGTGGGGGTGGGGCAGGGGAGAAGCAAAGAGAAACCATGTCTCTGCCTGAACGCTCACCCATCTGTTTTCAATAAATTTATTTCCTTTCTAGCCTATGGATAATCCTGTGCCTTTAAGAGACGAGCGCCCACCCACCCCTTCTTCCCATCCCCAATCTATTTTGGCTTGCTGCTGTTTTCATTTCCGCTTTCCTGTTCCGCATCTGGTGCCAGGAAATTCCTCACTTCCGCACTTGCTGGCCAGGAGACCGGGGTGTGCGTGTGTGTGTGTGTGTGTGTGTGTGTGTGTGTGTGTGGGCGTGGATTGAAGGCTGCCGCGTAGTCAGTGCGGAATGCAGCCGGAGGGGGTATCAGCATCTCCTTTTAATCACTCACCACCCAGACAGCTTAATGAAGCTCTGAGTTGGAGTGCATTCATCCACCCTGACATAGATTTCCTCAGCTTCTTAGCTAGGTTGTGGAGCAGGTGGCCGAACAGCTAGATTTAGGCATCGTTTAATTGTGTGGATGCGGAAGGAGACAGGAAAAAGCTCTTCAGCCTTTGCACATACATATCTGTGTTTGCTTAAATCCCAGCTCCTGTTCATACATCACACTGGCAGGCTAATCTGTAGCTCAGCAACAAAGGCGGTGCGATGGCACACAAACATTGCGCCATAGCAGCTGAGGGCTAAGTTTAAATGACACAGCAAATCATTGTCATATTAAGAACTTAAGCTGAAGTGTTGGGAGTTTTAATTCTGCCTGCTAACTTTCCCTTTTATGCTTTAATTTCACATGTTTGGTTGGTAAAGGAAGAATCCGCACTTGCAGCAAGATTGGTTGATGCCATTTTGAGACTTGGGTTAAAATCTTGACATTAAAACTACAGATAGTGGTCTTTCTTAGAAGGGCTGAATGAGCTAGAAGGTTCTTCTGTCTAGTCCTTGTTATAAGAAAGCCTCAAGAATGGCCCTGAAATAAAGTGGGGGCAGGTAATTAATATACTGTATAGAAATGTTAAGGATTTTTCTATTTGATTTTAGGGAGAGAACTACGTCTAATATACGTAATTCAAGGAAGCAGAAAAATTTCTGGGCCGCACTATAGATGAATCCCTTCCCTTCCGCTTCCCCTCCCTCAAATAGAGCAGTGTATCCTGTTTGATAACTGTAGTCTGACCTTTAGTACAGATAGTAGATCTTTGCCCAGCAGGAGTTGCTGAACAAAGTTATGTTCTCATCTAAAGCACAATTTGGAGGTGGGATTACTAACCTGTCAATCAAGAAGGCCTAGTGTGGCTAGCTAGCTAGCTAATTAATTAATCAATTATATCTAGCCTTTCATCCAGGAGCTGAATACTGCATACATAGTCTCCCTCTTGCTTTTTTCCCTCATAACTTCAACAATAACCCCAAGAGATAGGTTGGACTGTGACATGACTGATATTTTGACCCTGCCACTACAGCCTCCATGTAATATTTTAACTGATGCTATTAATATACTACTTAATGTGAAATGCTGCTGTTGAATGTAGGAAAGTATGCCAGATA